AAGAGAAAACAAAAGTGAATTTAAATGAATGGATCTTCATCAAATTTAAAAAGCTTCTTCCCAGTGACAGAAACTCTCAGTAAAACAAAAAGACACTCTACCAAATAGAAGAAAATATTTGTACATCATACATCTGATAATGAATTGATATTCAGAACTCATGCACTCACAAAAAGAAAACAAACAACTTAATCAAAAAATGGGCAGAAGAGGTAAATAAGCACTTTCCCAAAGAAGACATACAGATGGGCAACAGCCACATGAAAAAAAATTCTCATCATCACTTATTAGGGGATTGTAAATCAAAACCACTATAAGGTACCATCTCACATCAGTGAGAATGGCCCATATCAAGAAGACCCGAAATAAGACTCTACCCACAACATGGCAGAATAAAAAGGGCAGGATTTTTATTCTCTCCTTTGAAAACAACTATAAAAAATGACTGAGCTTGCTCCTAGGAAAATTCAGATGCTTTGGAACAGCTATACAGTCTCAGGACTTTCCGCGAGAGTTCAAGAACTAAGGTTGGTGGCTGCTGAGGGGAAACAATAGGAGGAACTGAGGGTGTGTGCCTGGGCTGGGGATGGACTTCCCAGCCCAGGCTGAGGGAACCCAGGACTTTGCAAAATTCCTTGGAGGTATTTTCCTGATACAAGAGTGGGCTTGGAAATTCTCTGGACTGAAAACTGGGAGATCCAGGAACAAAGAGTTTTTCACTAAAGTGATTGCATATATAACACATACAAAATATTCTGAATGAAATGCAGATAAATTTAATGCTTTAAATAGACAAAATGGAAGAAAGAATTTCAGCTGTGAAGACTCAAATAAATAAACTGCACATTCAGAAGAAAAGATAACACCAAGACAAAGGAAAAATGAGGAAACTCTATGTCAGACTTAATTAGAAGAGGGAACCTATGAATGATTGGACTCCCATAGGGGGAAGAAAATAGAAGAAGCAAATAAATTGATAGTACTACTAAGGAAAGCCATTCAGAAAGAATAGAGAGAAACAAGGGGAAAAAGAAAAAAATGCAAAATAAAACAATCAAAAACAAAATGACTGAAAATAAATAGTTCATATCAATAATCACCCTAAATGTGAATTGTCTGTATTACCAATAAAGGACATAGGCTAACAATGTACTTGAAAAAATTATACCCGTCAATACTTTGTTTACAAGAGAGCCATTTAAAAACAAAAGACAGGGGGCCTCCCCTGGTGGCGCAGTGGTTGAGCACTGGGCTGCCAAGCTGCCGAAGCCTGGTCCCACATGGCGCGCAGACCTCTCCTGCCACACCCTCTGCTCCCCTCAGCAGTGTATTTCGTCTGTCTGCCTGTTCTGTTCCCCACTCTGACTCTGGTGAATTCTCTCACCCTCCTGTGCTTCTGACTGTGCCCAGTGTTTGTATAAATAAATGAATAAATAAATCTTTAAAAAAAATAAAAACAAAAGACAAAAACAAACTAAAAATAATAGCTTTGAATAAGGCCATACTTGCTAATATTTTGGATAGTAAATCAGGAACTGCAGTTCTCATATCCAGTAAGCTAGACTTTCAACTAAAAAAGATAAATCAGGGACAATGATGGACATATATAATGGTCAAAGGAACAATTCACCAAGAAGATAGAACTCTTACTAATGTTTATGCTCTAAATATAGGAGCATGTAGTTATAGAAAGCAACGACTAATAGACCCCAAAAAATATGTCAACAAAATCATAATTATGTGAGGCACTTCAAGACACCATTGACACAAAGGGATCCAATCATCCAATCAGAAAATTAACAAATAAAGGTCTTAAATGAAGTATTAAATCAGATGGATTTATTGGATATGTGCAGAGTTTCCCATCCTAAAAACAATAAATCTTTCTAATCCAGGATACATGGAACATTTTCAAGAATATGTCATGTAGTTGGATATAAAATAAGCCTCAGAAAATATCCAAAAGCAGAAATTATATCAGCTATCTTCACAAACCACAATTCAATAAAGCTAAAAATTAACCATAAAAAGGAATCCTGGAACAACCCAAAATATGTGGAATCTAAACAAAATCTTTTGACCAACTGTTGGTCCAATGAAGAAATCAAATGTCAAAACCTATCTAGAGACTAATGAAAATAGACAAACTACCAAACCATATGGGATGCTTTAAAAGCAGTGATAAGTTAGAAGTTCAATACAGGCCCACATTAAAAAAAAAACAAAAGCAAAACCAAAGGCTTCCTTGGTGGTGCAGGCAGTTGAGTGCCCTGCTGTGAAGCTGTCAGCAGTGAGGGTTGGATCCTGACCTGCCTCGGGGCAACTCACATGGCAAGCAGACCTCTCCTGTCTCGCCCGCTGCTCCCTTCAGTAGTGTATTTCATCAGTCTGCCTATTCTGTTTCCTGCTCTGTCTCTGGTGAATCCTCTCACCCTCCCACACATCTTGTCTGTACCCCGGTTCTTGTATGCATGAATAAATAGATCTCTAAAAAAAAATTAAAAAATAAAAAAGAACAATCTCGATTTAACAATGTAAGATTGCAGTTGAAGAAACTAGGAAAAGAAAAACAAAAGTACCTGAAAACCAGTAGAAGGTAAGATATAATAAAAATTAAAGCAGAAATAAATAAAATAGAAAAAAAAAGATAGTCCAAAAGATCAGTGAAACCAAGAGTTTTTTCTTTGTTCTAGGTGAAGCAATTAGGCAAGAAAAAGACATAAAAGGGATCCAAATTAGAGACGTGAAACTGTCACTGTTTGCAGATGACATGCTAACATGCTTAGAATAATCAAAAAGTTCTACCAACAAAGCTTCTAGAAAAAAATAAATGAATACAGTAAGGTGGCAGGATACAAAATTAATACACAAAAATCAGTGGCATTTCTATGTCCAACCAGTGTATAAGAAGGAAGGGAAATAAGGAATACAGTCTCATTTACAATCATGCCAAACAGAGTGAAATGCCTGGGCATAAACTTAACAAAGGACCTGTACAATGAAAACTATAAATTTTATTACAGGAAGTAGAAAAAGTCACAAAGAAATGGAACAGTATCCCATGTTCAAGGGTCAGAAAAATCAACATCTTTGAAGTGGTTCTATTACCCAAAACAATTTACAGATTTAGTGAAATACTTATCAAAATACCAATGACATTTTTTAAGGAAATAGGATAATTATCAAATTTATATGGAACCACAAAATGCCAGAAATAGCTAAAACAATCAAAATAAAGAAGAAAAATGGAGGCATCATGCTTCTTGGCTTCAAACGATATTACACAGCAAAGTAATGAAAACATTATGGCACTGGATCAAACTCAGGCCAATGGAACAGAATTAAAAGCCCAGAGATAAATCCATGTAAAGTATGGACAGATAATTTTCAACAAGGAATTACAGACACACAGTGGAGAAACGACAACCTGGTTAATTAAGGGTGGTGGGAATCATGGATAGCCACATGCAAAAAAAATAAAGCAATGCCCATATTTTAAACAACACTCATAAAAATTCACTCAGAATGGGTTAAAGATGTGGATATAAGAACTTAACCCATAAAGTACTTGAAAGAAAATATAGGGGACACACTACATGACATCTACCATAAAGATGTATTGGGGATACAACCTCAATGACAAGGGAATCAAAAGCAAAAATAAAAAAGTTGGACTATATCAACCTTAAAAACTTTTGTACCTCAAAAGAAACCATCACAAAACAGCAGTCTACAGAATATAATAAAAATATCTGCATACCATATATCTGACAAGGGGTAAATCTCCAAAACTTAAAAAGTGCTTACACAACCCAACAACAAAGAAACAAATGACCCAATTAAAAAAATGGGCAAGGGACCTCAATAGACACTTTAAAGAAGGCATTCAGGTAGGGCCTCCCTGGTGGCTCAAGGCGTTAAGCACAGCACTGTGAAGCGATCTCACAGCCTTTGCAGCATGAATAAATAAAACTTAAAAAAAAATACTATTTAAAAAAATGACATTTAGATAGACATGAAGAGATGTTCTATATCGCTGAGGTATCACATCATGACCCTGTGAGAATGGCCCACATAAAAAGGAATGGTATTAACAAAGAAAAGAGTCAGACAAAAACCAAACCAAAACAAACCCTAGAAATCTGACTGTGGAATTGAGGGAGTGGGAGGGGGGAAGACAGAGAGGGGGTAAAGGACTGTATATTCCTCGGTGGTGGTGGTGGTGGTGGTGGCGGTGGTGGGTGTGGTGTGGTGACATGCATCTGAAGAAGTGTGATCCTGTGACTTAGAATGATCTACAGTATTGCAAACCAGTTATCTAATTTTTTTTTTTAAAATCTAAATTTCAAAAGAAAGCAAAACATTAAAAAAAAAAAAGGAGTAGGTGCAACAGATGCTTCACCAGAATCTGTTTTTTTTTTTTAAAGATTTATTTATTTATGCATACAATCACTGGGTTACAGGCCAGAGGTGTCAGGGGTGAGAGGATTCACCAGAGACAGAGTGGAGAGCAGAACAGGCAGACTGACTGAAATATACTGCTGAGGGGAGAAGCAGGCAAGTCAGGAGAGGTCTGCTGTGCCATGTGGGTAGCTGCCTGGCCAGCGGGGGATGGAACTTGTGCTGCAGTGGCTGTGAATTGCTTCAAAGTGCAGTGCTTAACCCCTTGCACCACCAGGGAGGCCCACCAGAATCTGTTACTTCAGAAAAAGATGAAAGTTTATGTTTCATTTTACAAAAATTATAAATGGTTTAGAGATTAAGTGAAAGGAATTTATAGAGCACTCAGCCGTTTTTCTTACAAGTTCTGACTAGTGATTTATATCCTTTATATGACTTCTATTAATCAGAAATTCTGTTTCTTTTTCCTCTAAGAGTTGGTTTGCACTGTGTTCTTTATAATTTCACCAGTTATTATTGTGTATAATAAATGCAGACCCAAAATTAATAGAACCGGTTTTAAAGTACACCAGTAAATTCATATACTTCTGCATTTACAGTGGGATCATGAGACCCGGCCTCAACGCTATTCTGGGACCCACAGGTGGAGGCAAATCTTCGTGAGTATGATAGAGTATAATAAGCATTTTTTTTGTTGTTGCTATTGTTGCAGTTTTAATATACTTTTGAAGATTCTTGTACATAAGTAGGTATTTGTTGAGCATTTGCTGTGTGTTCAATCTGGTACTAGGTGCTGTGGATAACATGTAGTTGAGCTTGCTTGTGGTTGTCCCTAGTCCAGGAAGTCTTATTAGGTCAGCTTTGCACACCAGGCATTAAAAGGTTATTGGTATAGAAATCTCCACACAGCTCTCCATAGTGGTTGGACCAGTTTGCACTCCCACCAGCAGTTCAGGAGAAATTCTTTTTTTCCATAACCTCGCCAACATTTGTTGTTGCTAGTTTTTTTAATATGTGCCATTCTCACTGGTGTAAGATGGTATCTCATTGTAGTTTTGATTTGAATTTCCCTGATTACAAGTGGTGTTGAACATTTTTTCATATGCCTGTTGGACATTTGCATTTCCTCTTCAGAGAAGTTTCTTTTTAGCTCTTCTGCCCATTTTTTGACTGGATTATTTTCTTTGTTTTTGTTGAGTCTCATCAGCTCTTAAACATAGAACTTCCATATGATCCAGCAATTCTACTCCTAGGTATTTACCCAAATAACACAGAAACATTAATTCAAAGGGCACCTGCTTCCCTATGTTTATAGCAGCACTGTTTACAATAGCTAAACTATGGAAACAACCCAAATGCCCAAAAATAGATGACTGGATCAAGAAGATGTGGTACATATACACCATGGAATATTACTCAGCAATCAAAAAAGGTAAACACATGCAATTCGCAGCAACATGGATGGAGCTAGAAGGGATCATGCTCAGCGAAATAAGTCAGAAATAAAAGAAAAATACTGGATAGTCTCACTCATAGCAGGGATTTAGAATACCTAAATAAGAGACCAGGAAAAAAGACTAATCAATACAAAGTAATAATCAAAATCAACAAGCAACTATAAACCAGAGACACACTAAGGGGGGAGGGGGAGGAGGGAGGGGCAGGGAGAGGAAGAACTAGAGTCAAAATAAGGGGGAGGGTGCAATTGTGTGGGGAATATAACCAAAATGAAAATGTATACATTGTGCAAAGATGAAAAATGATGTAAGAATTATATAAAATAAAATATTAAAAAAAGTTATTGGTATACAGGTGTAGCCTATGATTTGAACTAAGGGAAAAAAAAAGGAAGGGGATAATATGTAAAGTGGGGAGATGCAGTGGAAGTTATAAGGAAGGTTTGTGTCTTAGGTAAAGGAGCACCTGCTGGTCTTGGGACCCCCAAAGTCAGAGCAAGCAGGGCTGATTTGAAAGGTCTATGCTGATCAGCCAACAGCCCCATACTTTAATATTTTATTGTAGTATATAGTTTAAAAAAAAAGGAGAGGAATTTCAAAAACATAAAATTTAAATTAACTCATGGAATTTCTTGATCAGTTAATTTTCTAAGTTGAGAAGAATTTGGATTCATAGTAGCTGAGAGATAAGTCTGAGTAGGAGAAATAAAATAACATATATGTCCTTTTATAGGTTGTTAGATGTTCTAGCTGCAAGGAAAGATCCACAGGGATTATCTGGAGATGTTTTGATTAATGGAGGCCCTCGACCTGCCAATTTCAAATGTAATTCAGGTTATGTGGTACAAGTAAGTATTCTTGGAATTGCACTTTAAATTTCTTTTTCTATATGAGCAAGTCTCCTGGCTGATAATGCAGTGTGCTTCCAATTTATTATATGACATACCTGTAGAACCGATTTCTTTACACCAGCTTTTCATAATTTCTTGTAATGAAAAGCAAGAAGAATCTGGAATATAACCCTTTTAAGAGCAGGGATATCAATTCTATTCCATTATTCCAAAAGGTAGAACTGTTGTACTTTTTTTGCCTTGATGTCATCTCTCTTCCTTTAGCTTAGTAAGATACCTTGGCAATCCTTGTATAATGCAATCTAGAAATACCTGCTAGTAGTAACCATATTTCCTGGGCTCTCTTTAGTTATACAGATAATGAGAAAATTATTCCCTCAGATTTTATAACTGTCTGTATGTGTAGTTATTGTAATTTGTATAATTGCAAATTCATCATTAACTAGAACTCTACCTTGGGGATGTTATTTCTGTAGATTAAGCACATGTACCAAAGAGTGATGACACTAGAAAAGACCTGATAAGTTTTATGAAAACATTGTTTTGTCTTCAGGATGATGTTGTGATGGGAACTCTGACAGTGAGAGAAAATTTGCATTTCTCAGCAGCTCTTCGGCTTCCAACCACTATGAAGAATTATGAAAAAAATGAACGGATTAACAAGGTTATTCAAGAGTTAGGTCTGGATAAAGTGGCAGATTCCAAGGTAACATGGGAAAAAAATGATTGTATGATAGCCAGCAAATAAGACCTCACCTATGCTGTAACTGCTATTCAGATGAATTTTCTAAAATGTGCATTGAAGAAGTGACTAGATATGTAATATGGAAGTAGAAATTAACCAGGAAAATAACCTAAAAATGACTGAATCTTAGAAATAAAGCAGCCAGTGTTGTCTAGTAGATAAGTGTTCTTTGCAAAGGACGTGTTGCCTTGTCCTCGTGATTATAGCTCATCCTTCCCTCTCTTATTTGCATTCACCATCTTTACACTAATTTTTCCTTCTTCCTGTTTTCTTTCCTCTTTTAGCTCTTCTTCCTCCAGGGGACTTTGTTCTACTGCTTTTAAGGTATATTTCTGGAATTGATAAATGAAGAAATTCAAGTGTTCTCGTTCTCTGTCTTACTCTGCAGTCATTTGACTTCCAAAATGACATTCAGTCAAATTAGGGCTTATTTTTAATTCATGTAGCATCCAAGTTGTTTTACTGTAATCTTTGTTTTAGCACTTTGTCTCCCCCCCCCATACTCCTCCTCTGTCTTCCTCACCCCCTCTCTTCAGCTAGTATTTACTCAAGACTGTTACGTGCTGAGCTCCCAGAAGTTTGTATTTTTTTAATTTTTAAAAATTTCTTTCTTTTTTTTTGGGCCTCCCTGGTGGCGCAAGGTGTTAAGCACCACACTGTGAAACAATCCACAGCCTCTGCAGCATGAATTTGATCCCCAGTCGGCCAGGGAGCAACCCAATTGGAGCAGCAGATCTCTTCTGACTTGCCAGTTTCTCCCCTCAGCAGTGTACTTCGGTCAATCTGCCTGTTCTGTTCCCCACTTTGTTTCTGGTGAATCCTCTCACCCCCGCATCTCTGGCCTGCACCCCAGCTCTTGTATGCATAAATAAATCTTTAAAAAAATTATTTATTTTTACATCATTGTTCATTTTTAAACAATATTTGCTTCCCCACTCCCCCCCCCCCGCCGCCCTAGGTGTAGTCCCCATAGAATTTCCTTTACCAAGGCACCCGTGCACCATCACCTCAGTCCCCTGTGCTCCTCCCTCCCTCCTTCTGATCCCTCTCCCTCCTCCCCTGCAGGATGTCTCTGATTTATAATTGTCTGTTTTTATTTTGTTGTGTTTTGTACTGTTACTGTTTTTTTTTTACACTGATGTCTTCTTTGGTTTCCCTGTATTCCTCCTGTAAGTGAAACCGTCCGATAATTTTCTTTTTCCTTCTGACTTATTTCACTGAGCATAATTCCTTCTAGCTCCACATTGCTATGAATGGCATGAGTTTACTTTTTTTGATTGCTGAGTAATATTCCATTGTGTATATACACCACACCTTCTTGATCCAGTCATCTATTAACAATCCAGTCAAGAAATAGGCAGAACTTAGACGTTTCTCCAAAAAGGAAATGCAAATGGCCAACAAGCATAGGAAAATATGTTCAACATCCCTTATAATCAGGGAAATGCAAATCAAAACCACACTGATACCACCTTACACCAGTGAGAATGGCACATACCAAAAAAACAAGCAACAACAAATGTTGGCGAGGATGCGGTGAAAAAGGAACTCTCCCACATTGCTGGTGGGAGTGCAAACTGGTCCAACCACTTTGGAAAGTTGTCTGGAGGTTCCTCAGTCTACTGAAAATGGAGCTACCATATGACCCAGTAATTCCACTCCTAGAGATCTACCCAAAGGACACAAAAACAATGATTCAAAATATAGAAGTTTTAGAGTTAAAGGAGTAGGCAAGAGAGACAAAAGGAACTTCTCCTTCTGTGGGTTGTGCAGGAGCAGGAAGAAGAAATGAGATAAGTGAGTGAACTTTATAGGTGACAAAGAGGTATAAAAAATTTACGGGGGAGACATTTGAAGTTTTGGGTGAGGATGAGCTTTTTCAGTTTGAATGCCTCCTGTGATATTTTAATTCCCCTGTGATAATCATTTATTTAGAGGTAATGAGGGATGGTTTTTTGTTGGTTCCTGCTTCTTTTGATACTTTCTGACTTTCTTTTGAGTATTTTGCTGATTTTGTTTGGAAGAGTAACTCCAAGATGCTGCTATTTACTACTTATTTCCAGTTTAAGAGTGATTCAATTTCCTTTGCTTTTGGCTCTGTATTTGATTTTATCTTTACAGTAAGATATTTTCATTTTTTACTTTTAGTTAAAAAATCTTCATATTGGACAGTTACTATCCTACCTTCCTCCCTTGAATATCCAGGGAAAATGAGCTGAAGGCATAGTTGTTGACATCTCCAAATTTCTTTATCTGATTGAAAGCTTTTGTATAAATTTGCCCTAACAGAGATGTAGAAAGAATAGTCTGATTGCTATAGAAATGATAGGATTATAATCTGATAAATATATTCGTATGATTACTAATTATATTCACCTACATTTCCTAGTTGTTAGCATTTTATCCTATAATTGATTCACTTTTTTCTTTCTGAAGTATTATATTTTGTTTTTAAAGATTTATTTATGCATACAAGAACTGGGGTACAGGCCAGAGGTGTGTGGTGGGGGTGGTGAGAGGATTCACCAGAGACAGAGTGGGGAACAGAACAGGCAGACTGTCTGAAATATACGCTGAGGGGAGCAGCAGAAGAGACAGAAAATGTCTGCTGTGCCAGGTGGATAGCTCCCTGGATGGGAATCGAACTCGTGCTGCAGTGTCTGTGGATAGCTTCATAGGTTATGTCTTAACCCCTTGTGCCACCAGGGAGGCCCCTTTCTTCTTTCTAAAGTTTTTTTTTAAGATTTATTTATTTACGCATACAAGAACCAGGGTACAGGCCAGAGGTGTGTGTGGGGGTGGTGAGAGGATTCACCAGAGACAGAGTGGGGAACAGAACAGGCAGACTGACTGAAACACTCTACTGAGGGGACCAGTGGGCAAGACAGGAGAGGTCTGCTGCGCCAAGTGGGTTTCTTCCTGGCTGCCCGGGGATGGACCTCATGCTGCAGAGGCTGTGGATTGCTTCATAGTGCAGTGCTTAATCCCTTGTGGCACCAGGGAGGCCCTCGTTCTGAAGTATTTTAAAGAAAGTTATAAAAAAAATATTTTACCACTGAATATACATCCTTAGGAAAAAATACATTTGACTACCTTATGGCAATACAACCATCAGCTCAAAGTTAACAGTATCTTAATGTCAACTAAGTCAATCCCATAGTTTCACTTTTCCTTTTTGTGGTCCAACTGACCTCCAACTGTCTGGTCAATTGTTACAGGAGCCAAACAAGGACACAAGTACCACTTGATTAGCATCTCTTTGAAGGCTCTTGTATATGAATTGTTTCCCACCTCCTGAGTCCCAAAAAGCCTTCTTGTTTCCTCAACCCCACACACTGACCTTGAGCTGGTTGAAAAAACTGAGCTGCCTGCCTTGTAGAATATTCTACTTTCTGAACTTGTCTGTAAGAATCAGCCAGGACTTCTGCAGTGAATTAGTGTATAGATAGGGCCAATTTGGAAAACTTCATGTGGATTTACAAACTGTTAATGTGGTATGTCAGAAAGTGAACTTTTCTAGCTGCCAAGCCCAATCTGATGATTTTGTGGGGGTGGAAGAGAGAAAGGGGTGTCAGAAAACTAATGAATTATAGAATCTTTCACCTTTCCGCCTCCTGTCTTTATCTCCTTTTTGTATTTTGATTTCACTATGTGAAAGCCTTATCTTTTTATATTCTGACTTAACTATCTTAAAACCAAATATCTCTATGATAAAGACCATCCAAAATTTTCAACAGTAGGTTTCATATCAAGCTAAACCACTTACCAGCTTTGACCTGAGACTTCGTTTACTCATCTAATAAAGGGAAACCTGTCTGTCCCAGGTATTGATCCTTTGCTATTTAGAATAAATGAGGATAATGAAGTTAAACACCTCTTTGGGGATTGGCACAGGTTAAGAGCTCAACAAATAATAGCAGCTGTGGTTGTTGTTACTAATAATGATAATATTGATGTTTTAGGTTGGTACTCAGTTTATTCGTGGGGTGTCTGGAGGAGAAAGAAAAAGGACCAGTATTGGCATGGAACTTATTACTGACCCTTCCATCTTGTTCCTGGATGAGCCCACAACTGGTTTAGACTCAAGCACAGCAAGTGCTGTTCTTTTGCTACTGAAGAGGTAAATGCTTTGGGAACATTATTCTTTCATTCATCCAATAAATATTTGGTCAACTGCTATGTACCAGGCATTATTCCTGGGGCAGCGTACTCAGCAGTGAGAATAAGGACAGAAATGTCTTCCTTCTTTGTTGGAGGGAGAGAGTCAATTAACAAATAGAGGTGTTTCAAGGAAAATAGGGCAGGGAAGGACAGACATGATGGGAGTGTTATGTTATAGAGCAAAATGGTCAGGGAAGACCTCAATTACAATGCAACATTTGACCTGGAGGCAGGTGGATAGGGGAGGAGAGTTCTAGTTGGAGGGAATAGCCAGTGGCCCAAAGCAGAGCACACCTGATGTGTTTGGAATATCAAAGGGGCCACAGGGACTGGCACCCAAGGCTGGGCTTGCTTACTGGTTGGTTTGCTCAGGCTGCCATCACAGAATACCACAGACTGAGTGATGTTAACAATAGCAATTTATTGTTTCAGTCTTAAATGCTGTAAGTCAGTCCTATCTCCTGAGGCCTCTCTCTTTGGCTTATACGTGCCTGTCTTCACGTCATTTTCCCCCTTTGTGTCTGTGCTCTAATCATCTTTGTATAAGGACACTACTATAGATATATAATTTATATATATAATATATAAGTATATATTATTTATAAATATAATATATATACAATTATATATACAATATATATAATCCACTATGTAATGGATTAAGGCCCAGCCCAGTCATAGAAACTTCCTTAACCATAATCACCTCTTTCAAGACCCGATCTCTCTAAGTACAGTCTCACTCTGAGGTCCTGGGCTGAGGAATTCAGCAACATGACTTTTGGAGGGGACACAGTTCCATTCATAACAGTTAAAAGAAGACATGAGATAGAATTAAGTGGATGCGGATTATGCAGGCTTTGCAGGCCCTGACTTGTACCCCCCTCGGTGAGGTGGGGAGATTTTATAGAATATTAGAAAAGAGGAGTAGACAAAAGATTGTGTATCTGGGCTAGTGCAAGTGCAAGGAAAGCTGTTCACTATAGCTCAGTTGATGCTGGCTTTGATGAGGGTGTAATGAGAATGATGGGAAGTGTGTAGATTCTGATTTGATTTTGAAGGTAGAATCAACGAGATTGGTTCATGAGGTGGATGTGGGGTATAATTATTGAGAGAATGCCTTCTAAGATTTGGGGCTTAAAAAAATGGGAGAATGGAGTGAAAGGAAGGGTATTTCCTTTTATCAAAGGACGGCTTAGAAGAACACGTTTATTGGAGAAATTTCAATGATTACATTTTGGTCTGGCCAGGTTGGCTTTTGCTCACCCTTTTTGGACATCATTTTTTTGTCAATTATTTTTTTAAAGTCATAGTTATATGTTTTTAAGTTATAAGACTAGTGCAAAGAAATCCCCATGTCCCCTTGCCTAGATTTTCCCACTGTTAACTTCAGCTGCATTTGCTCTTGCTCCATCTTACCACCCCTAACATGGGCTTTTCCGACATCATTCCTATCATTTTAAATAGTCTGGTGGGTAACTACCAAAAGCAAGGATGCTCCTATATCACCACCTGACACACTCCCAGCCTGGAGGTCACCACCTGCAATCAATAGGCTCCTGCAACCTCCTTCAATTCATAGGCTGCAGTCAGACTCACCAGCTGTCCTGCCATGTCTTATTTTCTTTGTGTCTCAGGGTCTTCTCCAGAAATACTTCTTTTCAATCTTTAGTGGTCCGAGCAGATCTTCTGTCTGTTCCTGCCTTCTGTGTCCTTACCCATCCGTGAGAGTACATCTCAGAGGGTGGCCTGAAATCTGGGTCCATGCAGCTTCCTTATGACCAGATTTGGTCATAAGGAATTCCTGGTGGGGGCACTACAGAAATGATGCTGTGTTCTTGGTGCAGAACATCAGAACTGTGTAATTTTGACTCCCCCCACCAGAGGTGATGTTTGCCTTCATCCCTGGTCATGTTGGTGGCTGCTGGGTGTCTCTGCTATGACATAGTATATTTTTACCCTTTTTAAAAAAAGATTTATTTATTTATGTATACAAGAACTGGGATATAAGCCAGAGGTGTGTGTGTGGGGGGGGGGGTTTGGTAAGAGGATTCACCAGAGACAGAGTGGGGAGCAAAACAGGCAGATCTATTGAAATACACTGCTGAGGGCAGCAGTGGACAAGTCAGGAGTGGTCTGCTGTGCCATGTGGGTCATCTCCCTGGCTGGGGATTGAACTCGTGCTGCAGTGGCTGGCCATAGCTTGATAGCGCTGAGACTTAAACCCCTGCACCACCAGGGAGGCCCCATCATAATTTTTAAGGTATATATTATACAATAGTACTTAATTGTTGAATGTAACTAGTCTCCCAATCATGCTCACTATTCTCTCTGCTCACCACTTCTAGGGTCTCCCCACTTCTCCCTCCTCAACCTTTGTAAAAAAGCTGCCCAAAAAACTGCCTTCTTGTTATCGTGACCTTGCTTCCTCTGATGCTCAGACCCTCATAAATAAGTCTCTATAGTAAGATGAGAAGAAACATGAAAATGGGAAGATACCTAAGATTTTAGACATCTTAACTTTGAGATGGCCACAGGACATATGGTGAAGATGCCAGGTAATAGGTTCAGCTTCTGTTAGGAATACATCCATGATACTTCTATTATCTATATCTGTTAACAGTGTTCATGAGAGAAAGATGACTTGATGCATTATGCTGTAAGTGTTTTCATTATGTTTCAGACTTGGCACACAAGCATCTCTCCTCATGCCAGAGCTTTAACCCAGTCTTCTCAAAGTCTACTCTTCCCACTGATCACTTGGGTGCTTGTTAAAATGCAGAATCCACTTCTAGAGATCTGAGATGAAGCCAGGAGTCTCCATTTTTAATAGGAGATACTGAACACTGGTGCCCTTCACTTCAGACAGAATAGCAGTGAAGTTCTCACATAAATCCCCTTTTTTTTCCTACCAGTCTTACTGGCTCCCTAGTGCTTATTGACTAAAAAATTCCTATTTCTGATTGAAGAGCTTGTTTGTGAAGAGCTTGTTTTGTGATGCAGTGTCATTCCTTAGATGCTCCCTCACCCCCCACCCCCACCTCCCTGCCGTGACACTGAACTACTTGTAGTTTCCCGTATAGAGTTTGTTGTCACACATCTTAGTCTGCCATGTTCTCCACCTTGACTACGCTTTCTCTTTCTTGGCTTGCTCCTGTTGGCACCTTTGATATTCTACTTCCATCATCTTCAGATGGATGAGGGTCTTTTTTATACTGAAAAGGAACCCTTTGTTACTTCTGTTCCACGTTGTGGTGAAATGCTCCATCTAGTTGCCTGATCCTCTGAGGCAGAACAATCTTGAATACTCTGGTAGCATATGGTAGGTGCTTACATTGAAGGGACTGTGTCAGAAATCACAGTTTTTGTTAGTCATTCTGGCCTTTGTTTCTTATATCCATAAGTAGTAACTCCTGTGTAAACACAGTTTAGCACTGTTTTGGCTTCAGGCCATCAAATCCTAGCCCTGCCCTTCCTAAGACCCTTGACCACAGTGGCTTAATCCTCTAAGCTTAATCTGAAAAAGGAAGATAATAATACCGGTGCTGCCTTGTAGCAATATTGTGAAAATTTAGAGAAGGGTGTCTATAAAATATTTAACAGAGACATAGTTAATACTGAATAAAGTTAATAGTTATTAAAACAAAAATGAATATTAATTCCTAAAAGAACCAGAAGACTCAAATGATCAATAAGCGTGGGGCAAATGTCTGTTGCTCTAATATTTAGCCTACAATAAGCTCCCCAGCTTAAGTGTACTTAGAGGTTACTTGGGTGTTTGTTAAAAATATGTATTTCCCAGACCCAACAGGTCTGGGGACACTGTCCAGGAATCTGCATTTTTAATCAGTGTTCAGTTGATTTTAGACTGTCCATGAGACACATTTTAGGAAACCTTAATTTTTAATAAGGGCATTAAATTAGGTACCTCATCAGGTAAATAAATATGAGATGAGGCGTTAGTAAAAAAAAATCCAGGTGAACTAAGAACATATGATCTAAATATAAGAATAAAGTTTTTTGCCAAGAAGTATAAGTTTTAGACTTGTAATGACTTGTTATTTTTCACATTTAACTTAGGATGTCTAAACAGGGACGGACAATCATCTTCTCCATTCATCAGCCACGCTATTCCATCTTCAAGTTGTTTGATAGCCTCACCTTATTGGCTTCAGGAAAACTGATGTTCCACGGGCCTGCTCAGGAAGCCTTGGGGTACTTTGCATCAGCTGGTATGGTTGACTTTTTCATGCAGTAAGGTTATCATTAGTAGACTCCCAAGAGAACAAAGGGGATTCGGTAGGAGTGCTGTTTGGTCTTTGAGCTAACAGACCAAAACATCTTGGGTCAGTTTGGTGCTGGAATTTTTCTTCCTTTTCTAGCACTAGCATTTGTTCTAGATTTTTTTTTTCAACTTATATATATTTTTTGACCAATTTTAGATTTTTGTAGAGGTTCTGATAAGCAACAGAGAACATTGGTAGTTGTTTCAGTTTTCATGAATTATGATGGGTAAGCACCAAGCACTAAAATAAGTATTTCTGAGTGTTTAAGGTTGGTTTGGGATATGGTGTTTTACTTACAGATAGAATTGTTGCAATATTGTATGGTTGGACATATGAAAAGAAAGTATGAATTAGTAAGGGGAAAGAGAAAGATGAGAGAGAAGGCTGTCTCCCTCAGCCTCCTCCCCCAACCCCACACCAGTAAAAGTGAGTCCTTATTATCTTTCAGGACTATCAGGTTTGTGTATTTCAGTTGTTCTCTTTTGTAGGATACCACTGTGAGTCCTATAATAACCCTGCAGACTTCTTCCTGGATGTCATTAATGGAGACTCCTCTGCTGTGGTGTTAAACAGAGAGGATGAAGACGGTGAAGGTATGTGAATTTGCCAAGAGTCACAGATTAACCAATTGAATTAAATGAATTTTAGCAATATGGCAGCTCATTAAAATGTTCTTTGTGAATTTATACTAATACCGTCCTCTTTCTTGGATGTACGAATGCATAGATTGCCAAGTTTCTTATTTCAAAACACTAGATAAATGATGAGAAATTTTTATTTATTTATTTATTTATTTTTTAAAGATTTATTTATGCATACAAGAACTGGGGTACAGGCCAGAGGTGTGGGGGTGTGTGTGAGAAGATTCAGCAGAGACAAAGGGGAGAGCAGAACAGGCAGATCTACTGAAATACACTGCTGAGGGGAGCAGCAAATGAGACAGGAGAGGTCTGCTGTGTCATGTGGGTTAGCTCCCTGGCCGGGGATCGAACTTGGCTGCAGTGGCTGTCAATAGCTTCAGGTGCTGAAACTTAACCTCTTGCACCACCAGAAAGGCCCCAGAGTGTCAATTCTAAGATTAATTTCCATTTAAAAAAATGCTCATTAAAGAGACATTAACCAAAACAAAGAGACACCCTATTGAATGGGAAAAAATTTTTTGCACACAATACAACTGATAAGGGACTGATCACAAAGATCTAAAAAGAGCTCACACAACCCAACAAAAACAAAGTAAGCAATCCAGTCAAGAAGAGCTGAAAAGAAACATCTCCAAAGAGGAAATGCAAATGACCAACAGGTATATGAGAGAATGTTCAACATCACTTGTAATCAGGGAAATGCAAATCAAAACCACAATGAAATACCACCTTCACCAGTGAGATTGGCACATATTAAAAAAACAGGTTGGCTCATATAACAACAAATGTTAGCGAGGATGTGGAGAAAAAGAAACTCTCCTAACTACTGGTGGAAATGCAAACTGGTCCAACCACTATGGAAATGTGTGTGGAGGTTCCACAAACTACTAAAAATGGAACTTCCATATGAATCAGCAATTCCACTCCTAGGAATCTACCCAAACCAGCAATTCCACTCCTAGAAATCTACAAAAAACGTTAACTCAAAAGGATACCTGCACCTCTATATTCATTGCAGCACAATTTCCAATAGGTAAATTATGGAAACTACCCAAATGCCCAAAAATGGATGATTGGATCAAGAAGATGTGGTATATATACACAATGGAATATTATTCAGCAATCAAAAAAGATAAATTCATGCTCCAACATGAATTTAATCTAGCTCCAACATGGATGGAGCTAGAAGGGATTATGCTCAATGAATTAAGCAAGAAGGAGAAAGAAAAATATCAGATGGTTTCACTTATAGGAGGAATCTAGGGGAACCAAATAAGGAGCCAGGAAAAAAAATTATAATAAATCAAAAAAAAAAATTAACAGGCAGCTATTAATCAGAGACACTCTGCAGGGCAGGGAGAGGGAGAGGAATCACAGGGGAGGGATTGTGGTCTTACACAACGGACTGTGGTGATGGTGCATGGATGAATTAATGATGGGAATTTTGCAGAGACTACACCTGAACAGAAAAAGCATGCAGTGTACAAAAAGGAAGAATGATGTAAAATATAGATAAAATAAAAATAAATAAAGATCTACATTTACAAAAAAAAAAAAAAAAAAAAAACAACTGCATCAGAGAGAGAGAGAGTGAAAAAAAATTAAAAAAACTGCCCATTGTTTACTTAGCATTGGAAATAAGAAACTTGACAATCTGTGTGTTTTTATATAGAAAAAAGCCAGGAATAAGTTCTTACAGTAGGAATTTTAATTCTCTGTGGTAAGAAGTATATTATATCTCACATCATTGTTCATTTTTGTACAATGTTTTCTTTCTCCTTTCAGGTGTAGAACCTGTAAAATTCCCACCACCAATTCACCCATGAACCACCACTATAGTCCCTTGTTTTGATTCCTTCCCCTTCCCTCTACCCCTCCCCTGCAGAATGTCTCTGATTTATACTTGCCTGCTAATTTTATCTATTTATTTATTTATTTATTTATTTATTTGTTTGTTTGTTCTTGACCCCTTATTTACTTCCCCTATTTTTCTCCTATAAGTGAAACCATGCGATATTTTTCTTTTTCCAAGAAGTTTATTTTAAAAAGAATTAGAGTCCAACTATTATAATTAGAAAAAGAACAGTGAGTTTCTGTATCCATAAGTTTCTAGATGTAGGCCAAATTAACTGTATTTTTCTAATGTGTGAAGCAATGATAGAATTGATATTTTGATAATCAATCTTTATTAATATGTTATTGATAAGGAGTTTCAGAAAAATGTTTGAATCAATTGTTATCTTGTTAATAATGTTTCTTTTCTTTATTTTTATCCCAAAGCTAAGGACATTGAAGAAGCTTCCAAGGGAGAGACTCCTCTCATAGAAAGATTAGCTGAGTTTTATACCAACTCCACCTTCTTTAGAGAAACACAGGTTGAGTTAGATCAACTTTCAGGAGTTGAAAAAAAGAAGAAGAACATAGGCTTCAAGGAAATCACCTATTCCACCTCCTTCTTTCATCAACTCAAATGGATTTCCAAACGTTCATTCAAAAACTTACTGGGTAACCCCCAGGCTTCTATAGCTCAGGTAACCTGAGAGTGTCTTCTAATTGTGCTGTGGGGGTACTTTCCTTCTGCTATGATCTCTTGATACTTTAGGATAATGTTTCTCTTCTGCCCACCCTCCCATTTCTGTAACTCTGCTCACCAGGGAAAACACATTAAGTTATTTATGGAAAACATTTTTTAAAGACTTATTTATTTATATATACAAGAATTGGGGTACAGGCCAGAGGTGTGGGGGGTTAGAGGATTCACCAGAGACAGAGTGGGAACAGAAAGGGTAGATTGTCTGAAATACACTGCTGAGGGGAGCAGCAGGTGAGTCAGGAGAGGTCTGCAGCGCCATGTGGGTAGCTTCCTGGCGGGGGATTGAACTTGGGGATCAAACTCATGCTGTGTTGGGCATATAAGCATGACTGTGTTCCAATAAAAGTTTATGCACAGATACTGAAATTTGAATTTCATGTGGCAAAAAATATTATTCCCTTTTTTTCCAACCATAAAGGAAATATTAAAAAAAGTATTCTCATGATCTGAGGACATCACTTGTTGATCTCTGGCTTAGGATTTTTAATCTTGCATATGTTCACTTCTTTAAGTACATGCATTGGACCTATTGAGATGTTTAATTACTTCCTATTGACAAATCTCCTATCTGTAATCATAGAGTCATAATTAGATTTGAACTTTTTGTTTATATGATTCAGACTTTGCTTATGATATGCATTTAACTAAAGCTTTTATTTGGAAGATCTTGGAATGAATGGATCATCTGTATAACATTTAGTGTGCCGAGGGCTTCCTGATCAAATCAATTTGGAAGGCACTATCCTATCTTTTGGAGATTTAACGTTGCTATTGGCATATTTAACATTTGAATGTAGATTAATTTTTTTAGTGGCTGCCATAAGCATCCCTCTTACCTGGAGAAATGTTGGTAAACACATTTGATTTGATCAAAGGTAGAATAACATTTAGGGACTTTGTCCCCCTCCCCCACTCCTGTTCAAAACAGAGGCCAGATACCCAGAACTCATAATGTCTCTGCTTTGTTGTGCAATGTTTATCTTCCTGTTTATTTTCTTTTCTTTGATTCAACAAAGAATAACATAGACACACCTTGTAAAAAAGCAAGACAAAATAACAGGATCAATCATTTTTTGTAAGCTTGAATGCTGACTTTGAAAGTCCTTTTGGAATTTTGAAACCAAGAAACATCCTAATGATAATATTGACAGTTTGTTAGTATATCAGATTAGTAGACAAAAATGCGTAGTGTTGCAAAATCTGAATGTTCTTAAAGTTATATTGTGTGGAAATATAAATTCTGGTGTATATATATACATGTGTGCATGTTGGTGTGATCATTATGATTTATTTTGGATATTATATCTTTTGACATAAAATACAGTATATTCTGGGGACAATTAAAATATGCCAGGATACGAGTTGGTTCAAATTTTGATCTTTTTTTAATAAGCAAGGGAACTTTTAAGGACCTCAAATCATATTCTTTCCAGACTATGGTTTCACAAACTAGTCTTCACAGGTCAAGGTTCTGTGTTCTACTTTGGCTTGTTTTATGCCCAAATTGTCCTTGACAATTTACTTCCAGTCTTGTTACCTTTGGATTGTTATAATAGTAAGATACTTTAGGTTTTAACTGTGAGAATTCCATGATATATAGTGATATATATAATTTTTGAAGTCATCTCTTATATTTTTATATTTAATACAACATAAAAGTACAATAAAAATTTTCTCAACTAATCAAAAAAGATAAACTCTTGCCATTTGTGGCAACACAGATGGAGCTAGAAGGGATTATGCTAAATGAAATAAGTCAGAAGGAAAAAGATAAATATGTGGAATTTAGAGAAACCAAAAAAGACAAAACTTACAAGCTGACCATAGATCTGAGGCATGCAACAAGGGAGGGGAATTAGATGGGTCAAACCATGGGAGGGAGGAGCACAAGAGACTATAGTGAGGGGTTACAGGTGATGTGGTGGGAGAACTACGGGGACTACATCTGAGGTGAGAAAATCAAATACAGCACAAAAATGAACAATGATGTAGGGAAATAAATAAATTTAATTTAAAATGTAAATTTTTAAATATAAAAAAAAAAATTCCTCAACTGATATAGTGTAGACCTGTCCTTAATGGATTTGGTCAATCTTTGAAACAAAAATGATATTTATCAGTCTTCTCAGAAGCCATCAAATGCACCGAGAAGATAAAGGTAGATCAGCATGCCCCACACTTGGCAACTTGTTCTCACTGTTGGCTGTGGGCCTCCTGGCTGCGTTGCTAAATACTTGGGCAGGAGGATGAGGAGTGGAAGCACTTGGTGCCCTCAGGAAAGCTGGCTGAATGCTTTGGTGACAGTGACAGTGCACTTTTCCAGGGCAAGCCTGGACTCCTCCCAGGTCATGTAGGTGGGCCCCAGCTCACCCCTACTTCCTCACTGTGCAAAATTTCATTGTTAGAATTTTTCTTTGTGTTCTTTTAAAATTGTATTTATTTTTATTGTTAAGAGTAAAAGATATCCTGTTTTTACTTTTGCCTCTTGAAATATAAAACCACACGTATTCGTTCAGGTTGAGTTCAGGTCAAAGGGTGAGTTTAGGGCAAAACTTTTAACAACTTGGACTTTATTTTATTGTCCAAACTATTTTGCTGGGAATTACTTGCTCTGTCTCTCATTATGAATTCCCAGGCCTTGATCCCTGAACTGGGTCCTGAACCAGCAGTGCCTGTTAAAGTCCTGGGGAGAATCTTAGCTTTTCCAGCTATGTTCTTTGGTCTGTCAGTCACCCCTACATGCAGATGAACATTTTTTTTTTAATTTTAATTTATAAAGCAGTCTAATGACACATCTGTTTTATATTCTTCCATGGACTTTGGTCAATCCCTTTCTCCTATCTCAATGGAGAAATGTGATTATGTAGCTACATATGTTATGAAAATATTAGACGGTGTGTAAATTTCTACCCCTAATTCAAGCTCTTTTTTATTTTTGTTTTTGTTTTGAAAAGATAATTGTAACAATCATCTTGGGCCTTGTTGTTGGTGCCATTTTCTATGATCTAAAAAATGATCCTACAGGAATCCAGAATAGGTAAGTAAATTTGGATCTTAATTTTTGAGAAAGTGCTTTTGCTTTATTTAAGCTTATGGAAATCCATTAAGAATTTAAATTTCAGACAAGAACAGGGTAAACTGAGGAGTAGCTGAATGTAAGAGTTAATCTCTCTCTATATATATTTATACACACATACATATATGCATATATCAATACACATATGCATATAGTGGTAAAATACACAGAACATAGTACTTACCCTCTTAACATTTATATTTACATTGTTGTGCAATCATCACTATCATCCAACTGTAGAACTTTTTTCATCTTGCCAAACTGAATCTCCGTACCCATTTAATGATAATTCCTCATCCTCCCTTTTCCCAGTCCCTGAAAACCACAATTACACTTTCTCTGGATTTTACTACATTAGGTACCTCATATGGGTGAAATCAGACAGTATTTGTCCTTTGGTGACCAGCTTATTTCCCTTAGCATATTATCTTCAGTGTTTATCCATGTGATAGCCTATGTCAGAATTTCCTTCCTTTTGGGCCTCCCCTGTGGCTCAGCGGTTGAGCGCTGGGTTGCGAAGCTGCCTGCGGCCTCTGCAGCACCGGTTCGATCCCCGGCTGCTCCCCGGCCACCGGAGGAGGGTCCCACATGGTGCGCAGACCTCTCCTGCCGCCCGCTGCTCCCCTCAGCAGTGTGCTTCGGTCCTTCTGCCTGCTCTGCTCCCCGCTCTGTCTCTGGTGAATTCTCTCACCCTCCCGCGCTTCTGACTGTACCCAGTGCTTGTATAAATAAATAAATAAATAAAACAAAACAAAACAAAAAAAAAAACAAATCTTTAAAAAAAAAAAAAAGAATTTCCTTCCTTTTGAAGGCTGAATAAGTTTTCATTGTATGGATACCACATTACATTGTATGGATATACCATTTATTTGTCCATGGACACTTAGGTTATTTCTACTTTTTAGCTATATTGAATAATGCTGCTATAAACACAAATATACTGATTTGGATCTCTGCTTAAATTCTTTTTGGTATCTATCCAGAATTCTATTTTATTTTGAGGAATTTCCATCCTGCCTTTTAGAGTAGCTACACCATTTTGCATTCCTACTAGCAGTATACAATTTCTCTACAACCTTGTCAACACTTGTTATTTCCTGTTCCAGCCCCCCTTATTTTTTTTATTTAAATTTTATTTTTTATATTCCCCACACAATTACAACCCCCTTGTTTTGACCTCAAGCCCTCCTTTCCCCCTCCCCCCCCCCATAGAGTGTCTCTGGTTCATAGTTGTTTGTTGATTTTGATATTTTCTTTCTTATAGTTATTCTTTTTCCTGGTCCCTTATTTAAGTTTTCTAGATTCCTGCTATGAGTGAGACCATCCGGTATTTTTCTTTTTCTTTCTGGCTTATTTCGTCCAGCCCCCCTTATACTAGTTATATTAGTGACCACTGATGTTAAGCATCTTTTCATGTGCTTATTGACCATTTGTTTATCTTCTGTGCAGAAATGTCTAGTCAAGCCTTTTGCCCATTTTTTTTTAAGTCACATTTTGTTTTGGGGTTATTATTTCTCACTCAGGAGTTTATTTTATTTTTTTAAAGATTTATTTATTTATACACACAAGAACTTGGGTACAGGCCAGAGATGTGGGGAGTGAGAGGATTCACCAGAGACAGAGTGGGGAACAGAACAGGCAGTCCGACTGAAATAGCTGTTGAGGGGAGCAGCGGGAGAGGCAGGAGAGGTCTGCTGTATCATGTAGGTAGCTCCCTGGCTGGCTGGGGATCAAACTCATGCTGCAGAGGCTGTGGATAGCTTCACAGTGCTGTGCTTAACCCCTTGCGCCATCAGGGAGGGCCCATTTGCCCATTTTAAAATTGTATCTTTTGTTGTTGAACTGTGAAGTTTGCTATGTGTTTCTGGTATTAACCTCATATATGATTTGCAAATATTTTCTGCCACTCTGTGGGTTGTCTTTTCACTTGGCTGATAGTTTCCTTTGATGCACAAAAGTTTTAAATTTTGACATAGTCCAGAAGATCTATGTCTTTTATTGCCTATCAGTTAATTTCCTTACTATTTTTTAATTTATTTAATATGAAGAGGTGGGTGGAACTCAGTTTTTTCTGTTATATAGTGGGTGCTTAGTTTACCCTTCCCAGTTATGTACCCATAAAAATATTCTTTTATCAAATGAATGAGCTAAATAGAACAAAATAAATTTTAGACTCTAAGACCAAATTAGTGGTTACTAGAAGGGGCAGAGGAAGAGGGATTGTTTAATCAGGTATAAGAGGTCAATTGTATGGTGTATAGAAATGAACTTTTTTTTTTTTTTTTTTTTTTTAAGATTTATTTATTTATTTATACAAGCACTGGGTACAGTCAGAAGCGCGGGAGGGTGAGAGAATTCACCAGAGCCAGAGCGGGGAGCAGAGCAGGCAGAAGGACCGAAGGACACTGCTGAGGGGAGCAGCGGGCGGCAGGAGAGGTCTGCGCGCCATGTGGGATCCTCCGCCGGTGGCCGGGGAGCAGCCGGGGATCGAACCGGCGCTGCAGAGGCTGCGGGCAGCTTCGCAACCCAGCGCTCAACCACTGCGCCACCGGGGAGGCCCTAGAAATGAACTTTTAGTGGCGAACTTTATGTACTATATACATCGATTTAAAGTGATGCACACCTAAAACGAATATGATGTTATAATACAATTTACTTTAATAAAAAAATTTTCAAAATAATGTTTAATGATGAGACTCAGTTTGGTGCCTAGCAAGCTCTCATCATAGGAGCTTAGCAGTAGTGAAGACTACAGAGTCTCCTTGAACTTTGTGTGCTGAGAACAGCTCTGAGCCACACATCAGGCCCATTACACCCACAATCTCAGGTCAGTTCCCAGAGCAGAGGGGTGGATGGTATTGTTATCCCTATGTTACTATCAAAGTAAGTTGCAGTATCTTAACTCAACTTTATTTTGATGTCTGGAAAAGACTGATGAAAGAATAAGCATAAGTTCAGCTCTTCATTAAGATAAAGTATCTCCTGTATGGAATCATGTAGTGTTAACTATATGATGAAACAATGGTTGCTGCTCTTTTCCAGAACTATGCCATTTTTCTTTTCACATTTCCTGAGGGGTATATTCTTCTAGATTATTTCCAAATGAGCTAGTAATTGTGATACATACTGCTTGTAGAGGTCTTATTTTCATCCAGCACAGATCATTTACACAGAGATCTAGAGGCTTTGGGCCTTTTGAGTTTTATAAAGGAAATATTTGGAAAAAATCTGTTGGGAAACCTGACCTCAACTGGAATTTTTAAAGTGCAACTGAAAATATACCATTAAAGCTCTTGGTAGAATCCAGAAAAATATAGAAGAGCTTTAGTTTTTTCTAAAATGTTTTCTGGAGAAAGTGGATTGGATTTGGGCCTACCTGGTGGCATAGGGGTTAAGTCTCAGTGCTATCAATGCTTTGGCCTGAGTTCAATCCCCTGCCAATGAGCTAATTCACATGGCACAGCAGACTCTCCTACCTCGCCCGCTGCTCCCTTCAGCAGAGTATGGTTGTATATCTACCTGTTCTGCTCCCCTCTGTCTCTGGTGAATCCTCTCCCCCTCCCTGAGCCTCTGTCCTATACCCCAGTTCTTCTATGCAAAAATAAAAAAATAAATAAATAATCAAAGGAAGTGCATTGGATTTATTTTGATCTGAATTTTTGACTTAATGCTTGCTTCCACTTATTTGTCCTTTGAAGTTGCTGGGGAAGCCGATGGTTTGTTTGTCTACTTTGGGACTGATTTATGCCAGAGTGGTACCTCTGCTTTTCTCTAACCATGTAACTGACAAGCTGGATTTTATGAGCTTCTTTGACATAAAGTTAGCTCTATTTAACTTAATAGTTTTTGTATAGGGTTGTGGTGATAGCTAAACAAATTAGCATATATTGGAAGAAAAGATATTTAAAAAAATATAAGGGGTTTGCAATTGTATGGGGAATATAAAAATAAAATTTATTAATAAAAAAATTCAATTATAAAAAAATATTTAGATCACTAAGTAGATACTACAGACATGGATAACTACCTTGAAAAGTCTTCACAATAAAAACTGCTTTTACTATAAAATAAATTATCTTACGATTTAGAAGGAATTTCACTATCTTCTAGCTTAAACTCATTATGAACATCATTGTGCCGTTAGATGTAAGACTTAACAAATTGAGCTGAATTGTTGCCATGTTCCGTGTTTCTGAAGTTGGCTTTTCCTTTGATTTTAAATTTGTATGCAGAAACTTGCATAACTGTTTTTGTACTGGGTCTGGCTATTTCCCATTAATTATCGTATAAACATTTACTTTTATGATAACCAGCTCCCTAATGTTTGTGTGTATGTTTTTGTTTATTTGTGAAAAATTTACTATGTATCTATGGACATTTTCTTTTTTGGGGTCTATGCACTTGTGTTTAATTTTTTATGTTTTCTTTTTGTGTGTATCATATTATGTGCCACTTCATCTCTTTTTCAGTTTCAACTCACACCCTCAGTTTCCATTAAATTGTTTGGTTATGAAGGACAGCCCAGCACTGTTGTAAGGATTGGGCTTTCACAAAATCTATCTTTGTATCAAGGTATAGATTAACTGAGTATTTCCCTTTTTAAGCCTAAATTATTTTACCGAGAACCATTCATAGTCTACCTTTATTTTTTACAGGTGCATATATTAATTTGCCCTTTATAAACATCATTTCATTTTCTATTTTGAGCACTATGGAAGCTGTATTGGCAATGGGTTGTCAAGGATACTATCAAAACCCTGCTGATGGTTGTGTGGTAGAAGAATACCATAAGCTGCCAAAAGAGATTTCCATCTACTGTCTTTCAATTTGCCTCTGGAAATCAGGGTGCCAGTGTGATTGGGGTTTGATGAGGGATCATTTGATGGCTTGCAATGGCCACCTTGTCTTGGCAGGGGCAGAGAGAGTTCTGCTGTCTCTTCCTTTTCCTCTAAGAGCACTAATTCCATCATGACAACCCTATCTTGATAACCTCACACAAACCTAATTACCTCCTAAAGACACCAAAATCCAAGGACTCCAAAAATCATCACATTGAGAGTTAGGGTTTCATCAGAGGAATTTGGGGGGTGTAGGGGAAGAAGCACAATTCAGACCATATAGCAACCCTAGACTGTGAATTTCAAACAGTGCTTCATGGGCCCTTAGGGTACCTTAGAATCAGGAATAATGGGTAGAACCCTGATAGGGTCCATACTTCCTCTCTATTTTAACCAGAATGTTGTGTGTTTAATGTTATATCATTTGAGGAAAGAGTTTTTCAGATGGAAAATTGATCTAGGAATATTTAATCGACTGTGGTGCTTTTGTTCCCTTTTATCACAGAGCTGGAGTGCTCTTCTACCTGACGACCAATCAGTGTTTCACCAGTGTGTCAGCTGTGGAGCTCTTCGTAGTGGAGAAGAAGCTCTTTATGTAAGTGTGTTTGTCCTAGCAGGCGGCTGTCCGGCATCTAGGGCTATTGGTCAAACTGGTTGCCCCAGAATTAGACCATAGATGGGATCTTGGGGGTGACTGATATTAATTGAGAAAAGACAACCAGAGGCTGGAAAGAAAATAATGAGTATGGTAGACCTGATGCCCCTTAAAACTAATGTAGGATGTATGGTATGTGTTTTTTTTTTTTTTTTTTTTTCAGACATGAATATATCAGTGGATACTACAGAGTGTCATCTTACTTCTTTGGGAAACTGTTATCAGATTTATTACCCATGAGGATGTTACCAAGTATTATATTTACTTGTATAACATACTTCTTGTTAGGTAAGCAAACAAAGAGACAAAAGTGTGTGTTTTTAATCTTGGGTACAAAGGGAAGCCAGTTCCTCTTTTGCAAGCATGTTTTCATTTCTCCAAACTAAGCCAAGCTGTGACACCAAGCCATTGTGCCCTTTCTCAAATAACTGTTCACTGAGGATACTTTTGTTAGTACTTTTTCCAACCTAATTTTTATGTAAAACATTATTTTAACTTAGAAGTGCTATGCGTCACATATACGCATGGAAAGAATTCACAAAACTAAGACCTGATACAGGAGAGGAATTTATTACCTTCTTATACTACCATGTGTAGCTTAACGAAGGGGATACATTCTGATAAATGTGTCATTAAGTGATCCTTTGTGCAAACATCAGCAACTGTAATTACACAAGCCTCGCTGTTATAGCCTGCCATAAACCTGGGTCATGTCGTGTAGCCTATAGGGACCCTATCTATATGTGGTCTGTCAAGCCACACATGACTCTGTGTGTATGTGTGTATGTGCGTGTGTGTATGGAGATAGAGAAAGATAGTGACATTTGGAAGCTTATTGGTTTAATAAAAACACATGTTAGGTAGGCAGTAGAAGTCTGGCCAGTTGTTTGCCGGCAGGCTTCTGTCTCAGGAACTCAGAAAATCATTAACAATTACACATAAAGGAGCACAGGAATTATATGGAAAAGTACTTATGTAGTAAATATAGAAAACTGTATAAAAGATCACTATTACATCATGGAGTGGTAATGACACTGATGACCCAGGGTGGTTGGGTAGTAGGTAAATTTTTAAATTATTGTTATTGGTTTCTCAACATACAGATCGTGGTGACCTGAGGTAGTTGGATTAACCTCTTCTTTTCTTCCTAAGGACTGAAACCAGAAGTAGAGGCCTTCTTCATTATGATGTTCAGCCTTATGATGGTGGCATATTCATCCAGCTCTATGTCACTGGCCATAGCGGCAGGTCAAAGTGTGGTCTCCATAGCAACTCTGCTTATGACTATCTCTTTTGTGGTCATGATGGTGAGTAGGAATCATGCTTCTCTGAGAGGTGGTTGTTTCCCCCTCCTTGCTTGCTAAAAATTCTCCTTTCATGTAATACCTGCTTTGAGAATTCTGTAAATGGGGCTCTGCTTTAAGGAGCCCTTATAGTCAAGTATAACTTCTATTAGAGAATGTCAGATTTTTCTTGAACTTATCCAGTCTTTTTTTCTTGCTACTATTGTAATATAGTTTCTATAACATTTAGTTAACAGAATGTTACAAATGAACTTTTAAAAGAGGCTTCTTGAGTGGTATCCACCTATTCCCTTAAATAATATACAGTATTGTTAGCTAATATTACCTCAATTAAAATAAAGAGTTAAAAAAAGAAAAGGTTTCATCTAGTGAAACCTTGGTAGATTTATTTATTTATTTATTTTTAAATATCCAGTTTTGTTACTCAGAGTTTCATTTTGGAGTGTTTTTTTTTTGTGTGTGTGTGTGTGGGTGGGATCCTCGCCGGTGGCCGGGGATTGAACTGGCGCTGCAGAGGCTGCGGGCAGCCTCGCAACCCAGCGCTCAACCAGCTGTGCCACCAGGGGAGGCCCGGAGCTTTTTTTTAAAAATAAAGATTTATTTATTTATGCATACAAGAATTGGGGTACAGGCCAGAGTTGTGGAGGGTGAGAGGATTCACCAGAGACAGAGTGGGGCACAGAACAGGCAGATTGACTAAAATACTCTGCTGAGGGGAGCAGCCGGTGAGACAGGAGAGGTCTGCTGTGCCAAGTGGGTAGCTCCCTGGCTGGGGATCAAACTCATGCTGCAGTGGCTGGGGATAGCTTCATAGGTTGTGTCTTAACCCCTTGCACTACCAAGAAGGCCCCAATCTTGGTATATTGATATTATACTTGGTATATATACTTGGTAACCTCAAAAACCAACCTTTTTAAAAATTTTTTTAATATAATTCTTACATCATTTTTCATTTTTGCACAATGTATGCATTTTCATTTTGGTTCTATTCCCCATACAATTGCACCCCCCCCCCTTATTTTGACCCTAATACTTCCTCTCACCGCCCCTTCTCCCCCACCTGTAGTGTATCTCTGGTTTATAGTATCTTGTTGATTTTGATTTTTACTTTGTATTAATTAGTATTTTTCCTGGTCCCTTATTTAGGTTTTCTAAATTCCTGCTATGAGTGAGGCCATCCAGTATTTTCCTTTTTCTTTCTGACTTATTTCACTGAGCATGATCCCTTCTAGCTCCATCCATGTTGTTGCAAACTGCATGTGTTTACCTTTTTTGATTGCTGAGTAATATTCCTTTGTGTATATGTACCACATCTTCTTGATCCAGTCATCTATTTTTGGGCATTTGGGTTGTTTCCATAGCTTAGCTATTGTAAATAGTGCTGCTATAAACATAGGGAAGCAGGTGCCCTTTGGAATTAATGTTTCTGTCTCATTTGGGTAAATACCTAGGAGTGGAATTGCTGGATCATATGGAAGCTCTCTCTTTAGTAGGTTGAGGAATCTCCACAGAGCTCTCCATAGTGTTTGGACCATTTTGCACTCCCATAGTGCAGGAGAGTTTTGCACTCCCGCAGTGCAAGAGAGTTCCTTTTTCTCCACAACCTCGCCAACATTTGTTGTTGCTAGTTTTTTTAATATGTGCCATTCTCACTGGTGTAAGATGGTATCTCACTGTAGTTTTGATTTGCGTTTCCCTGATTACAAGTGATGTTGAACATTTTTTCATATGCCTTTTGGACATTTGCATTTCCTCTTCAGAGAAGTTTCTTTTTAGCTCTTCTGCCCATTTTTTGACTGGATTATTTTCTTTGTTTTTGTTGAGTCTCATCAGCTCTTTGTAAATTTTTGTGATCAGTCCTTTATCATTGGTGTTGTGTGCAAAAATTTTCTCCCAGTCAGTGGCATTTCTCTTTGTTTTGGTTATTGTCTCTTTTGCAGTGCAGAAGCTCTTTAATTTGATGTAGTCCCAGCTGTTTATCTTTGCCTTCACTATCACTGCTTTGGGTGATGTGTCTGTAAAGATGTCTTTGAGGTGCATGTCATGTAGTGTTTCACCTATATTTCCTTCTATATATTTTATGAAAAACCAACCATTTTGAATGGACGGTTCCCTCATAAAAATGACAGGTTAGTTGCCCGACTTCTGCACTGACCTTAAAAACTGCCAGCTGCTTACCCAGTGGCTGAAGTGGTTAGGGTGGCAGCTACTCTTCAAAGGGAAGAGCTAAGCTCTATGAGAAATAGAACAATTAGCATGTGGCCTAGGTAGTCGACCTAAGGTTCCTCCTGCATTTTTTTTTTTGCTTTTATTTTCCTTTTTTAATTTAAATTTTATTTTTTATATTCCCCATACAATTACAACCCCCTTATTTTTGACCCCAAGCCCTCCTTTCCCCGCCCCCCACCCCCCATATAGTGTCTCTGGTTCATAGTTGTTTGTTGATTTTGATATTTTCTTTCTTATAGTTATTCTTTTTCCTGGTCCCTTATTTAAGTTTTCTAGATTCCTGCTATGAGTGAGACCATCTGGTATTTTTCTTTTTCTTTCTGGCTTATTTCGCTGAGCATGATCCCTTCCAGCTCCATCCATGTTGCTGCAAATTGCATGTGTTTATCTTTTTTGAATGCTGAGTAATATTCCATGGTGTATATGTACCACATCTTCTTGATCCAGTCATCTATTTTTGGGCATTTACCCAAAGGACACAGAAACATCAATTCCAAAGAGCACCTGCACCCCTATGTTTATAGCAGCACTATTTACAATAGCTAAGCTTTGGAAACAACCCAAATGCCCAATCCTCCTGTATTTTGAAGAGGAGTTTTATTTTTTTTTTTTTTTTTTTTTTTTTGGATTTAAATTTTTTATTTAAAAAAAAAATGCACCCAACTAGGTCCAGCTATTTTTGAATATGATGTTGTTAATCTGAGTGAGACATCCCACAAACTGCTCCAAAAAGCTGCTGCATCCCTCAGGTGCTTCAACTCAGGCCCCCTGCCCCCACAATCACCACCCTACCCCTTTTCCCCACGCCCTCCTTGGGCATGGATATTCTGCAGTCTCAGCTTTGGGTGGGGTTTGGAACACGTGGCTTTGAGCTGTGAAACTGAGCCACAAACAACTGGGATTTGCTACTGAGCAACACAATGTTGATTTATTTCTTTTTTTTTTTTTTTTTTAAATATTAAATTTTATTTTTATATTCCCCCATACAATTGCAAACGCCCCATTCTGACCCCAATCCTTCCCCTCCCGCCCCCCACCCCCCAAAAAGTGTCTCTGGTTCATAGTTTTTTGTTGATTTTGATTTTCACTTTCTTATATTCATTTTCCTGGTCCCTTATTTAAGTTTTCTAGATTCCTGCTATGAGTGAGACCATCCGGTATTTTTCTTTTTCTTTTTGGCTTATTTCGCTGAGCATGATCCCTTCCAGTGCCATCCATGTTGCTGCAAATTGCATGTGTTTATCTTTTTTGAATGCTGAGTAATATTCCATGGTATATATGTACCACATCTTCTTGATCCAGTCATCTATTTTTGGGCATTTGGGTTGTTTCCAAAGCTTAGCTATTGTAAACAGTGCTGCTATAAACATAGGAGTGCAGGTGCTCTTTGGAATTGATGTTTCTGTGTCCTTTGGGTAAATACCTAGGAGTGGAATTGCTGGATCATATGGAAGCTCTATGTTTAGTAGGTCCAGAAATCTCCACACAGCTCTCCATAGTGGTTGGACCAATTTGCACTCCCACCAACAGTGCACAAGAGTTCCTTTTTCTCCACATCCTCGCCAACATTTGTTGTTGCTAGTTTTTTTAATATGTGCCATTCTCACTGGTGTGAGATGGTATCTCATGGTAGTTTTAATTTGCATTTCCCTGATGACAAGTGATGTTGAACATTTTTTCATATGTCTGTTGGCCATTTGCATTTCCTTGAAGAGGAGTTTTAAAATGTCAGAATCATTCCAAAGTCCACACAGTACTAGGTCCCTCCTTGCTGGGTTCCTGAACTTCCCTTATGTCAGTAAATATCCGCATAGTTTTTTTTTTTTTTTAAATTCAGGAAAGTTTATGTGAATAAAATCCCAAGTTAAGATTTAAAAAATAAAGTCATTAGAAATAACTCGTTAATTCCATACCACAGCAGCTCTCCTGCCTGTGACTACACAGGCATCTCTTTTAACAAACCTGCCCTTTCAGAGACAGATTTTCCTTGTGTCTGTGCAAGTGTCTCTTCCTTTTCTTTCCTTTATAAATAACAAACCTGCCCTCTTGGCTTAAAAGAAAAAATACCATACCACATAAGAGGGAATTGTATGGAGACTATAACCAAGATGAAAATGCATACATTGTGCAAAAATGAAAAATGATGTAAAAAATATATAAAATTAAAACATTTTAAAAAATGAACAATGATGTAAAAAATAGATTAAAAATTAATTGATTTTAAAAAAATGCAATCATGGATTTTAGAAAAGAAAATATATGTATATCTTCTTAACTATAAAAGTACTAACAGACTTCAAATTAAAGGTTATCCAAAGTGGTACAAATGTTCAAAATCCTAAGGAAACTTTAAGAATCATTTTTATTCATAAAATAAAAGTAGAATGAAACTGATTTGATAGTATTATTAAGAAATTTGTATGGAAGCTTGTTAATAAATTTTGGTGGGAATTCTTAATATTTTGTTGCTGTCACCTGAAAAGACTTATTTTCTTCAGTAAAAGGATAATGTGTAAACTAATAAACTACAATTTAGTTATCACATTACAACCAAATGTGACTGAAGATACAGGAGTAGTTGACAGTGCCTCAGGTTTGACTGTGTCCTGAACTCCTCACTCTGAAGAGATTAGGCCAAACTGTTTTTCGGACAACTTGATCAGTAGACACAGACAATAGTTGTGTTTTCATTTCTCTTTTTGTAAAACTTGCTATTACCATAACAGATAGCAATGACTGTTCTAGTAATAGAGGAAGCAAAAGATAACTATTTTTGAAGAAATATTTATCTTTCTACCCAAGCTTCTCAATTAGTCCTTGAAGACTTGCCAGCTCATACCTGTCAATGATATCAAACACCTGAACAAAAAAATAAAGTGCTTCAGGGAGACATTGAGATGGGCCTCTGGCTGCATCACAGAATCAAAGTGCTGGTGATCAATATGGGCATCAACCCTGAGCAGATGCTTTAGATGGTCTTTGCCACATCATAGTTTTGGGGGAGTGGAACATCAGTCTTAGAAAGAAAAAGAGTTTCATCACCAAGTGGATTCTGAACCCAAGTCATCAAATAGTTAATGTACTTTGGTGCAGAACATTTGACTAACTTTTTAGTAATGGCACTGTTTGCCCAATTATACTTGTATGATGGCCTTGCAGACATGAATAGACAGCTTGCTTTAGTGCAGAATTCTGTAATAGTTACATACCATGTGCTTTGCAAAGAAATCTACAGAATAAATTCAGATTAACAGTAATCCATTAAGATCCTCTCCCTCTGATAACTGGTCTCAGATTTCTACTTCCTAGAGTTGCATCTGTATGATTTCAAAGATTATGCTAGTGAAACCCTTCAGGGATAGTCTTCTTTGATTTGATTGCTTTAAAACAAGAACAGCTGCTGAATTGGAAGCTAATCTTCTACACTCAGAAAAAAGGGGAACTGAGTCAATGACCCCCACCCCAGGTCAGAATTGGAACCCTATTGGAAACTGAGAGGGAATGGGTAATTCTCAGCCCCCACCCCATCCAGAGCAGAAGCCCAGGCCACTCCTCTCAGTTGGGGTTAAGCTCTGATGTAAATTACCCACCTCCTCCACTATGCCAACCCTAAACCCTATTTTTTAAAGAATTACTTAATTCTGATCTTATATGCCCCTAAACTTTGCAAGCACATATTTAAATCAACAGGTGAATGGGAACCAGTTACCATATCCCTTTACTGATCAAGAGAAATGGGAAGCATGTCCTTTCTGCTAGACTAGGATTAGGAGTAGATCTGTTTAAGAGTATCATTAATTAGTACACACTCTTGCTAAAATTTGATTCTCCCATTTCTAAGCTTGAAAACTACCAATCTAAATATTATTGTAAGAGTTTAAACCTTGCTTATGTAGTCTATGTCATCCAATAAATAAAATGTCCCCAACATATAAAACTGTTTTGTTTGATATATTTGTTTTGACTTATTTTACTTAAAATTTTTTTACATAGAACTTTTATTTTTTTAATTATTTTTATTATTTTTTTTATTTTTTACATCATTGTTCATTTTTAAATAATATTTGCTTTCCCCCACCCCCTCAGGTGTAGTTCCCATAGAATTTCCTTCACCAATGCACCTGTGCTCCATCACCTCAGTCCCCTGTGCTCCTCCCTCCCTCCCTCTGATCCCTTTCCCTCTTTTAAAGTGAGTGATAAAACCAGCTTTTTCTCAGTTGCTGTGTTACCAGTTGCTATATGTTATATACGAAGCACTTGGTTAGGTCAAGTTTAAAAATAAGTAGTCATACCAGCAATGTAGGCATGCCTATTCCTGAATAGCTGGTACCAGGTAGGAGGAGATTTATACAACCTCCTTCCATATGGTATCTCTGGCTGAAGTGTTCCTTCCGGGGATTTCCACTGCAATACTGCTTTTAGGTAGCTTTAAGTAAATGTAGTGGCCATGTTTTATGTTGTGCTTCCCCATATTGCACTATGTACCAATACCAGGCTTTGGGTTATTTTAAGCATGCATTATGAACGCTGAATTATTCCTGAAGTCATATGGTGACAGAATGCAAACCCCTGTAATAAAAAATACTTCTGTTTTATGGAAGCATGGAAGAGAGGAGATACTCAGAAGGTATTCTGGTGTTCTTATTGCCTGTATCATTAGAACAGTATCATTGACCTTCCAGTTTGTGCAGTTAGAGAAGGAAAAGTCATGAGAGTTAAGGATTTCCAGTTAAATGAAATATACATTATAGATACATGGTCTTTCTTTAAAACCACAAATAACCGTAGCTATAGCGCTATATACATATGAAGAGGGTATGACAAGTCTTTGGGGATAGTGGAAGGAATTTCAAGAAAGAGTTGGCCTTAACATGTGCTTCCGACGTTTTAGGGGACTTTAAGTTCTCATTCCTGGTATTTGCTCTTTTAGATATTTTCAGGGCTGTTGGTAAATCTCAGAACTGTGGTGCCTTGGCTTTCATGGATTCAATACATCAGCATTCCTCGTTATGGCTATTCGGTAAGTTTTCTGTCACTGTGACTGTTTTATTGTTTCCAAGCTAGGAAACAACTAAAATAAAGCCTAACCTAACCATCTCACAGCTATGACAGTCTCACAGGAATTTCCTTTTAGAAGGAATAAATGAGAATTTTCCTATTAAGGCTTGGGGTTAATAATTACCTGGGGTTTCCCCAGGCCCCTGTTATGTGAGGAAGGTGAAGGGTGTGGAGATAACTCATAGCGAAGGACTATCGATGGGATTGACTAATGGATGCTAAAAAAATAATAACTGTGCTTCAGTTCAATCAGGAGGTAAATGAGATGATGGGAGTCTAGAATACATATTTTATGTAGGAGGAATTTATAATTAAAATAAAGACCATATAATAGAGCCACTATTGGCTTTAGAAAGCTAATCATCTCCAAAGTAACTTGTTTTATTATACTGTAATTGAATTTCTAACTCCCAGAAATTATAACTAGTTTTGATGACAACAAACAGCAAGAATTGTCATTGTATGCCACTGTAGCTTTTTAATTATAGTGTTTATGAAGCTCTAAAATTGCAGAAAGAAGAAGAAGCCGCTGTGGGGTAATATAGCCGGAGTTCTCACCTCTTGGCCAGAATACTTATTTCCTCTGTGTTAAAAACTAAAACCCCAACCACAGTCTTTTTGATTGCCAGGGAAAACACTTTTAGTTGAGCTTTGGGGTGACAAGACTGTGAATATGAAGCGTGGTTTGTTTTTAGAGACAACAATGAAGATTAAACTAGGAAGCTGTGATTGTGATAATTCTCTTAAAAGTTTTTGAAATTTTAAGCATTTTCCATCCCCCACCCCCTTTGTGTTACAGGCTTTGCTGTATAATGAATTTTTGGGACAAAACTTCTGCCCAGGCCTTAATGGAACAACAAACAGTACCTGTGAATTTGCAATGTAAGTTTGCATTCAGTGCCTGTGTTTTTTTGTATGATTGCTTGTGAGTAATGGGTTCTTTGAAGAGCTTTGATCATTTTAGTAAGGGTCATGAGATGTTCTCTGTTAAAGTTAACGTTTGCCACATTGGGAGTGAGTGAAAAATTGCTTGGTAAATGTTTCTGGCTTTGAAGAGAACAGCTTCATAGATTTGGAAACAAGTACTCTGGGAATGTTAGAAGCTACCAAGTGTGAATCTGTGAACTTGGCCAACATACTTAAATCTTTCAAGGAGCCCATCTTTTAAGTGTGTATCATATCTACCCCATTGGGTGATTGTAGGGATTAACTGAACTATTATATGTGAGTATCCATTGTATCCAGTGGAGTTGTAAGGATTCACTATTAGTTATTATAAATGAAAGGATAATTAATTAAGACTTGATAGTCTATAGATTTCTTTAAGGAGCATGGAAGATTCTGAATAAAATATGTCAGATGCTGAGAATGATTATATTATTTTTTTCTTAAATTTCAGATGTACTGGCAATGAATATTTGATAAGCCAGGGCATCGATCTCTCACCTTGGGGCCTGTGGATGAATCACGTAGCCTTGGCATGCATGATCGTTATCTTCCTCACAATTGCCTATCTAAAACTACTGTTTCTTAAGAAATATTCTTGAGTTCCTCTTTAATGTACATGATAGAGCCACCCATTAAAAAGGGAGCACCCTGATTTATTTTAAATATTCAATGAAGTTTTTTGTCTTCTTCTCCTTTGCTGTTTTACTGTTGTTTGGAAAGATTTTCAGCACAAACAATCAGAAATCACAATGAACTGAATCGTACATGAAGGCTCCTAAGTCATAAACTAATGACGTAGGCAGACAATAGCCATAAAGGGCAATGCCAGTTTATTGGCCTAAAAAGGGAAAGTTGAATTCTAAAAATTTCTGACAAGTTACTAATTCTTTGGTATCAGTTTCCTCATCTTCAAAATCAGTAAATAAAAATGTACTAATGCTGTAAGTAACAAATGTATTAATGCTATGAAATCTCAAATAGATTAGAAAAATCAGTATTATTTATAGGATAAAAAAGCATTATGGTAGGAAAAGTTTTAATGTTTTTAAAGTTAAGAGAACTTACAGACATTTCTCTATAATGGAATTATCCCATCTCAGGTCTTGGCTGAGCCTTTGGACTTAGAACAAATGATGGGGAGTCTGGTGACAAGGTTGTTAGGACATTCTGGTTCAAGAAAATCACTTTTCCTTACCCTTTGGCCACCTTCCCTTAGTATTAAATTTTATATAATCAGGTACATTCATCAAAACTAAGAAGGTATTGTAACATTGGTACATTACTGCTAAATTATACATTATTTAGGTTTCACTACTTTTCCACTAATATTTATTTCTTGTTCTAAGATCCAACTCAGTGGTTCATTTGTATGCAATATATATATCCACACACACATATTTAAATTTATTTTTATGAGGAAACCAGAGAAAATTTAAGAGAGGCTAAAGTTTCGTGGATACAATCTTTAAAAGATCATTCCTTCTCTACCATTTTCCATCTCCTTTTGCTTCTCTGATATTGATAACAAAAGGTTGTCAAGATAACATACTACAAACAACTTTGGTCTTAGGAAACCCAATTTAAATGAACAAGTTACCTTAAGTTTCATATTTTCTTTTATAAATTGAAGTACACTATGTGATTTAGAGGTATAGGCTCACATCTCTTTAGATAAATGTTACCGAACCTTACCCACCACCAAGACACCCACAGTCCTTTCACCATAATCCATTGGGACTATTCCCACTTTGATCTCCACCCTCCTTTTGCTCCTGGGGTAGCCTTAATCTTACAGTCAGAAATCTGGGCTATTTTTGGTTTGGTTTTGTCTGACACTTTGTTTTACCTTTCTATATTCCACATTGAGTGAAAAAATCTGGTATTTGTCTTTCTTCTAGCTTATTTTGTGTAACGTAATCCATCCAGTTCCACACATGTTGTTGCAATTAGCAAAAATTCATCTATTTTATAGCTGCATAATATTCCATTGTGCATATATTACCACATGTTCGTAATCCACACATCTGATGTTGGGCACTTAGGTTGGTTTCATAACTTGACTATTTAAATAGTGCTGCACTGAACATAGGAATGCATATAGCTATCTGAATTAGTGCTATTGCATTTGTTCAGTATGATACCTAGGAGTGGGATTACTATGTTGTCCCTCTAAATCTCCCCCAAAATATCTATTTTTGATATTTTGAGAATCAATACTGTTTTTTAGTCTACATTCCTTAGCTCCTTTGTCATAGATAAACTGTACATGTAAATGTACAACAGTGTGAGAGGATTCCTTTTTCTCCGCATCCTTGCCAACACAGATTGCTTCTGATCTGTATGATAATAGGCCATTCTCATTATAGCTTTGATTTCCATTTCCCGTATAATAAGTGATGTCGAGCATTTTTTTCATGTGCCTGTTGCCCATCTCTATATCTTCTTTAGAGAAAGATCCATTTAGCTCTTCTACCTATTTGTTTCTTGTTGAGTTGTATGGCTTTTTGGATTTTAGTCCTTGTCAGATATATGATCCACACATATTTTCTCCCATTCAGTAAAGTTTCTTTTTGTTTTAATGATAGCTCTTCATTGTGCAGAGGCTTTTTAATTTGATATAGTCCCATTTGTTTAATTTTGCCTTTGTTTCCCTTGTTTTTGCAGTAGAGTCCCTGAAGACAGAGTCGTGACGTGTTTGCCTATGTTTTCTTCTATTTGTTTTGTGGTCTAAAGTCTTAGATCCAAATTTAAATTCATTGCACATTACTTTTATATATAGTAAGGCAGTGGTCAACTTTCATTCTTTTGTATGTGATTGTCCAGTTTTCCCAACACTATTTTTCGAAGAAATTTTCCTTTCTCTATTGGATACACTTAGCTCCTTTGTCATAGATTAACTGTACATATAAATGTGAGTTATTTCTGAGTTCTGAATTATATTCCATTGTTTGGTATATATTTTTATTACAATGCCATACAGTTTTGGTTACCTTAGTGTTGTAGCATAACATGAAGTGTGAAAGTATGATGCTGCCATTTTTTTCTTTGTTGTTAGGATTGCTTTGGGTATTCAATGATCTTTTGTGGTTCCAGATGCATTTCAGCTGTTTGTTCTATTTCTTTAAAGTATGCCATTGAAACTGTGACAGGGATTGCAACAAATCTGTATATTGTTTTGGACAAGGTGTCTATTTTAACAATGTTAATTCTTCTAACCCATGAGCAGGGGTTACCTATCCATTTCTTTGTGTCCTCCATTTCTTTTTCTTTTATTTCTTTTTCTTTGTAGCTTTTGTATAGGTGTTCCACCTAATTTCTTAGGTCTATTCCTAGGCATTTACTTATTTTTGATATGATAGTAACTGGGATTGTTACTCTTTCTTGTAATTTTTGTTTGCATATAGGTGTGCAATTGGTTTTTGTAAATTGATTGTGTAGTATGACACTTTACTGTCTTATTATTTCTAATAGCTTTTTTTTTAGTGGAATCTTTAATTATATAATCATGTCATATGCAAATAGTGATAGTTTTACTTCTTTTCCAATTTGGATTCTTTTTCTTTCCCTTGCTCTAGCTAGGACTTCCAACATTATGTTGAATAGTAGTGGTGAAAGTGAACATCTTTATTGTACTTGATTTTATTTTTTTTAAAGATTTATTTTTTTATACATACAAGAACTGGGGTACAGGCCAGAGGTGCAAGGGCTGAGAGGATTCACCAGAGACAGAGTGAGGAACTGAACAGGCAGATTGACTGAAATACACTGCTGAGGGGAGCAGTAGGTGAGACAGGAGAGGTCTGCTGAGCCTTGTGGGTTAGCTCCTTGACCAGGGATTGAACTCATGCTGCAGTGGCTGTGGATAGCTTTATAGTGCTGCAACTTAATTCCTTGTGCCACCAGGGAGGCCCTGTACCTAATTTTACAGGAACAGATTTTATTTCTCACCATTTAGTATGATGTTAGGTTTGTCATAGATGGTTTTTATTATGTTTAGATATGTTACTATTATTCCTATTTTGGGAGGTTTTACTCATAAATTGATACTGAATTTTATGCTTTGTCTGCATCAGTTGATTGATCATATGAATTGTATCTTTCTTTTGTTGATGTGAGTTGCATTGACTGATTTTCTGACTTGAACAATCCTTGTATCCAACTTGGCCATGATGTATGATTCATTTATATTGTTGAATTTGGTTTTATAAGATTTTATTGAGAATTTTTCATAAATATTGATCTTGGAGATTGGTCTGTAGTTTTCTTTTTTTGTGATGTCCTCATCTGTTTTTGGTAAAAGACTAATTTTGGTCTCACAAAGTATATTGAAAGCATCCTTTTTCCTTAATTTTTAGGAAGAATTTTAGAAAGGTAAGTATTAGTTCATCTTTGAAGCTTTGGTAGAACTTACTATTAAAACTGTCTGGTTCCTTTTTTATTTAGAAGAATTTTGATTACGGTTTCATTTCCTTGCTTGAGTCAGTCACGGAAGTTTGTATACTAAGAACATTCATTTTTTTCTTGGTCATTTGATTTATTGGCATGTAGATGCTCATAGTAGTCTCCTATGATTCTTGGTATTTCTGAGGTGTCTCTTTCATTTCTGATTCTATTTATTAGAGTTTTCTCCCATTTTTACATAGTGAATTTAGCTGGAGATATGTCTATCTTGTTAATTTTTTCAAAGAACAAGGTTTTGTGGTCATTGATTTTCTGGATTGTCTTTCTATTTCTGTATCACTTATATCTGTTTTAATTTGCTATATTTTCTCCCTTCTATGGAATTTGGTTTTATTGTTTTCTTATTTTCTTAAAGTGTAAAGTTAGATCATTTATGTAATTTATTTCTTTATTTCTTGATGTGGGCTTGTTTGCTATATACGTCCCTCTTAGTACTGCTTTTCCTACATTCCTCCATAGGTTTTAGTAGCTCACGTCTTATTTTTCACTTATCTCCAATTTAATTTGTTTTTTATTTCCTATTAACATAATAGTCATTCACTAGAATATTAGAGATGTTTCCTGCTTTCATTTTATGCTTCCTTTCTAGTATGATAATTTTCTTATCAGAGAAGATAATGATATGATTTCAATTTTCATGAGTTTATTGACACTTGGTTTGTGACCCAATGTGTGGTATTCTGTAGAATGTTCCATATGCACTTGAGAAGATTGTGAACTCAGCTTTTTTTTTTTTATTTTTTTATTTTTTGGTGGGAGAGAGCATTGTCCTATAAATGTTTATTAAGTCCATGTTGTCTATTTCCCTATTGACTGTTGTTTCCTTGTTGATTTTCTATTTAGTCCTTCTGGCCACTTGTGAAAGTGGGGTGTTGTAGTCCCCAACCATTGTAATGTTGTCACTGTTTTAAGATTTGACATAATTGCCTCATATATTTTGATGCTCCTTTCTCTGGTATATATTTTGGGTTGTCAGAAAAGTCATGACACATATTTGCATAGATATCAGAAAAAAATACATTATGACTTTTCCGACAATCCAATATATTGATGAGTTTCACATCTTCCTGATGTATTGATCTTTTAACTATTATATAATGTCCAGCCCTGTCTCTCATTATCTTTTTCTAAAGATTTATTTATTTATGCATACAAGAACTGGGGTACAGGCCAGAGGTGTGGAGGGTGAGAGGATTCAACAGGAGCAGAACCTCCGGTTGACTGAAATACACTGCTGAGGGGCGCAGTGGGTGAGTCAGGAGAGGTCTGCTGAGCCATGTGGGTATTACCTTGGCCAGGGATAGAATTCATGCTGCTGTGGCTGTGAAAAGCTTCATAGGTTACGTCTTAACCCCTTGCACCACCAGGGAGGCCCCTCTCATTATCTTTTTTTAATCTGGAACTGTATTTTATCTGATATAACTATCCCTGCCTTTTGGGGGTCCTATCTGCTTGTAAGATTGTTCTTCAACCATTTGCTTTATGCCTCTGTTTATCTTCAGAGCACAGGTTGGTCTCCTGGATATAGTGGTAAGTTGGGTTTTGTTTTGTGTTTCTCCAGTCACCATGTGTCTTCTTATTGGTGCTTTTAGCCCATTTAAATTATTGATACCTCAAGGTGATGCTTGATACATAAAGCTTTGCTGCTGTCATTTTGTTTTTAGTTTTCTGGTTCTATCTATTGTTCAATTTTTTTTTGTGGATATCTTTTCGCTTTTGTAAGTAGGAATGCTCCTTTCAACATTTCCTATAGGGAAGTTTAGTGTTTGCAAATTCCTTCAGCTTCTGTATATCCCAGAAGGCATTTATCTCCCTAATATCTGAAGGGAAATATCTGAAATCTTACTGTCAATTTTTATCACTAAGGTAGTTTAAATATGCTATTTCATTTTCTCCTTGTGTGTAGGGTTTCCTCAGAGAATTCTGATGAAAGTCTGAATACCTTTATAGGTTATCTGCTATTTCCCCCTAATCATCTTCAAATTCTTTCTTTGTCTTGAACTCTTGGAAGTTTTATAACTATTTGTCTTGTTCTAGGTCTCATTACAGTTAGATAACCTGGTATTCTTTTAACTTCTTTGTCCTGTATATTTACTTTCTTTGCTCAGTTTGGGAAGTTTTCTTCTATTTTTTCTTTGGATAAGTTCTCTTTCCCTCTCTTTCTTCTTCTTTGGAATACCAGTTATTTTTATCTTGTCTTTTCTATTGAAGTTGGATAGTTCCCAAAGTGTTTCTTCATTTTTCTTTTCATTGTGTTTCTGTTCTTCTATCAGGGTTTTTTGTGCATTATTATCTTAAAGGACATGGTGATCCTCCATTTGCTTCTACTTTGCTTCCATATCATCTCCACAATATTTTATCTCCTCTATTGACCTTTTCACTTCTGCATCTGTTATTTTCTCATTTAAATCTTCAATTTCTATTTCCTATTCAATAATTTTGTTTCTCAGGTCATTCATTAGGTTTTTGTTGGGTTTTTTTTTTTTTTCAGTTTTCTCATATTTTTGATCACCTGTGTTTTCTTTTATTTCTTTGAATTTCTTGATCATTATAAATCTCTGTCTGCTAGGAAGATAAAATCTTCCATGTATTTATAGTTGGACTCTGGATTGTTATTCTCTCCTTTTGTAACTTATTGTTTTGAGATTTCAAGATTCCATGTGTTATATCTTTCTTTGTATGCATATTTTGCTGCCTTATATTTCACTGTTTTTTTTTTTTTTTTTTTTTTAAAGTACCATAATCTGTAACAGTCACCTGGAGATTTGCATTACTTGCACTTTTCAGCAGTTTGCAGTGTGGTTTTATGTGATTTTCTGGAGGGTTTTTTTTTTTTTTCCCTTTTGTGGATTATTTAGGTTTCTGGATGCATGTTCTTGCAGTCACTGTGTCAGTGTGTGTAATACAAGTGTGTAGGAATCCAGCTATTGGTGTGAATGCTTTATGGGGAATGTATTTGTGGCACCAGTGATCCAATCTCTCTGGGGTTTCAGACCCCAGCCTCTATAATCTGTGTGCCATCAGTGTGCTTCATGAGGTCAATTCCATATCTTTGGTGTGGGGGTAGGTGGTGTGCAGTGTAGAAGAGTGTCCTTGTTCTTTTCATTGGTACCTGACCTGTGGGGAGCACACCAGCTCCTTACACATTTTCCCCCTCAGCCAATGGTGTATGCATCCACATAATTCAATTTTCTCCTCCAGGGTGTTGGCACAGTGGCAGGACTGCAATATGTATGGCAGCCTTCCCACCCCAGACCATAAAGCTTTCAGGTATTTCCCTCCAACCACCTGTTATTTAATGAAGCATAAATCCCTGAGAGTCTTTTCTGGTGTAGACCATTCTGACCCTAAAGCAAAATATTTTGATCTTTGAACTTTATGGAACATTTTAATGATTTTTGCTTAATGCAGCAGCATTACCATCCTATTTTTACTGGTTGATATATGACTGTCAGGGCTAATCATTACTTTTTTTTATTTCAGTACATTTCCTTTTTTTCACATAACTCAGGTTTACTTTTCCTATATTGTTCTGTATACTCTTTTCCTTCATTATACAAATAAATATAGACCTAGTCATGTTACATAAAACATACTTAACATAAGAAACAAAACAGCCAAAAATATTAATAGCTTTAAAAGATTACTAAGAATCAAAATATATCCTATTACATTTGTTCTCCCGTTTTATTACAATCATTGAGAGCTCTTTTTTATTACTGTGATAAGAAACACGTTAAATTTGTCATCTTAAATATTTTCAAGTGAAAGAACATTTTTTAAAGTATAAGTCTTAAGGCATAAAATAAAATATAGAGATTTTCTTCAGAATGTGAATTTTTTTTTGAATTTGGTTATTTTGGATGTCAGAAGAATGCATATGTCAGAGAGAATAAATTAGTTACTATTTTTGAAATCAAAGAATTCTTAGGAATAAGTGAATTTTAATTATAATTTATGTCCTTCAGTTCCTGAACTTTGAAAGAAAAGTGCAAGAAAACTGTTATAGATTGTTCCTTGACTTGTTGGGTGAAGCAGTAAGAGAGAAAAAGATAATGGGTTAAAAAAAAAGACAGAATCAATATGGAGGCATTTGCGGTAACATCACTGAGACCTATTACCTAATCTGACTGCAGTTTCAACCTCCCCCAAGAATATAGTCTTAACTGGTCATTATGGAAATTCTGGTCACCACCAAAGAAGTAACCTTTCCATTCACCAAGGGAAATTGACATCACAAGACATTTTTCCATTTCTTATAGGTAGTTACCTAAGTCTGAAATAATTCCCTCTTTCTTACCTCACCCGTTTTCTACCTAAAAAAAATTCATTTCCTACAACTTTTTGCAGCGCTTTTTTACATTACATGATATGCTGCCTGATAAATGAATTATTTGATAAAGTCAATTAGAATGTTAAAATTAACTTGTTGGATTTTGTCATGTAACAGTAGGTTGAAGAGAGAGTTTTTGAATAGGGAGTGTACATATTTATCTGTTTGTTTTTGATGTGTTCTCCCTCCTTTATGGTTGTTAAATAGGAATTTTATTAACCTCAATACTATCTACATGTTTGAAAAGTCGAATTACTCATATTTTTAAGTACATAGTTTGGACACCCCAGGGCTTGCTCAGTGGGTCCCAGAACAGATTAGATTGCAGATATGGAGACTACATGCATTTAAAAGCATGGGCTCCTACCAACACTGATGTACTGACAGTCACTACTGATGTCTGCACTTTCAGCAGTAGGGGTTGGTTGAACTCTGTGCATGTTGTACTGTCCTTTGAGAAGAACAACCTGTCACATGTTGGTAAGTCGATGACATGCAAGGTCTTTATGATGCCTGAAGTCTGTGAGGATTGCTGTTGGGCTATGGGTCTTACTGGAGATACTACCTTTATAGAAAGTCTATGCTTTTTGTTTTATTTTGTTATTTTGTTTTACATTCTTTTGTGACAGAACTATATGTGTTTTATGATACCTCTTGTACCGTGTCTAAATAATTTTTCTTTTGGATGTAGCAGAAGGTTGTGAATATCGTTGGTTTCAGAGCATCTCTTAGTCATTGCGTTATTAAATATTTTGGCTGGTATTCATGGTAAAAAATACATTTCAAAATAAATCCCATTATTTTTGTACACATAAACATATAATCCAAACAAGTTTCATGTGGTGTATTATGAAAGTTATTTTGAAAATAGAGTTTGAGTAAAATTTTTATTGGTCCACCAATGTAATAAAGTGCATATACAATTAAAAATATTTTCAAAAAGTTACATAGTTTAACATGCCCTTCAATTATTTTTAATGTCCTGGTTTAAAAAATTAAATGGTTGCTTTACCTACCTCACATGGAAATCATAAAGATTAAATAAAGTTCTTTGTACTTACATTGCATTTCATGTTCTTTGTTTTATATACCCTTACAGTCTTTGAATTCTCTTTGTATGTGGGAATGGGAATTTCTTTTAGCTTTAAAATTTTATGAATCATGATTGTTTGTATTTCACTGTCCATTTTTCAACTACCTTCAAGAAGAGCCAAGTTCACTTTTAACATCCTTGGTATGATTCTATAACTTCTTTAACTTGTATTAGTATAAAAATACTTTGAATCGTCTAATATGCAGATTTGAACTCAAAGCTGCTAAGATCAAGGAAAATGTATTTTGAAAGAAGGAAGGTCAGCCTTTGACTTGTCTACCTGGTTGGTTTTGTCTATTTTACATTTTGTTTTGGTTCGTGAGAGTGGGACAGAGAGGATTTCTTTATTCCATAGACCAGAAGGTGACAGACAATCTCTGTGAAGGCTTCTTTAATAAATACTTTGCAGTCTTTGCGTCCTTTAAAAATTTTTTTTATCATTCTATTTTTTATTTTATTTTATTTTTTAAATATTTTATTTTATATAATTCTCACATCATTTTTCATCTTTGTACAATGTATGCATTTTCATTTTGGTTATATTCCTCATACAATTTTTAATGATTTTCAAGAATGTAAAGGAATTTAAAATCGTTCTTGAAAATCGTTAAAACTGGTTCTTAGCTCAATGGCTATGTGACACAGGCAGGGGAACCAGATCTGTCCTGCAGGCCAGAGTTTGTAGAGAGATCTCTGCCAAACAGTTATTCTGCTTCCTGTGAAATCATAATTAAAATGATAAACCGGATTTCTAAGAAATTGCTGCTAATTTTATTAAAATATTTGATCTTCAAGATAGTATATTGAAACTCTCTCAGCCTAATAGAATAAATATATTGCTTCTTTATTTATTTATTTATTTTTTATAGAGGCATGGTTTTTATTTATTTATTTGTTTGTTTGTTTGTTTTGTTTATACATGCACTGGGTACAGTCAGAAGCCGGGAGGGTGAGAGAATTCACCAGAGCCAGAGCGGGGAGCAGAGCAGGCAGAAGGACCTAAGTACACTGCTGAGGGGAGCAGCAGGCGGCAGGAGAGGTCTGCGCGCCATGTGGGCCCCTCCTCCGGTGGTCGGGGAGCAGCTGGGGATCGAACCGGCGCCGCAGAGGCTGTGGGCAGCTTCGCAACCCAGCGCTCAACCGCTGCGCCACGGGGGAGGCCCAATATATTGCTTCTTAATACGTGACTCATCCCTTTAACTACTACTCCCTACTCTCCTTCTCCTATTCCAATCTTTTGTCAGAAGATACAAAAGTAAGCAGGTTTCTATATCTGGAATTAATTTTGAAGTTGCTCTGTCTGCACAGTCTCTGTGATAACATTAAGTATCGCTGAGAGGGGTTAGAGTGCAAGCTACCAGTTGCGATCAGGCCATGTTCAGGAGTTGGATTTCACTTTTATTTTTCAGGGCTTCTAAGGGGATTGCTATGATCTGAGGAATGAATTCATACTAGCCATCCTCGAAAGAGATCCATCAGCCAAAGCACCAGTTTACTAATTTAAATAGTAAAATGTTATGAAGACATTCACATGTGACATTCTTCTCTCAAGTATGAAACAGATCAGAGGATTCCCTGGTAAAGACAGAATTAGGATTTAAGGATAATTCAAAGTATTAAGTTCCATAGGAATTTGTGTGTCAAGCTATCCTGAATAGTTGTAACAATTCATTTTACCAAGACAGTGCAGGTGATTATCAGCATCCTCACTTCATTCTCAGAACTTAGTGTTTATCCTCAGTGGGAAAAAGATTCTAAAGAAAAAAATCAGGAAGTTTACCAAACATAGCTTCCATCTTGACCTTCTGCCTCTAAACTAAACAATAACTAAACTAAAAAGTGATTGCCTCATGCTGACTGATTGCCTTTTCATCTCCACATATCAACATATTACAGATTAAGATATATTCTAAATTGAAATAACTTTTATTTTCTATCCCATACACTTGTACTTACCTTTGCTGTTACCTAAGGTGGGGTTTCCCAAGCTAGTCATTAAGCATCCCTTAATCTGGGATGCTTATGTAAGAAAGCAAGGAGTGAAGGAAAGACTATGGTTCCCCGCCCCCACCCCTGCTGAGTTAAAATCTTCAAGGGGTGATCTGGTAATTCCATTTGAGTTGGGTTGTAATAAGCAATTAAAGCTAATTAACTTAGGGCCTCTCCTGGTGGCACAGGCGGTTGAGTGCAGCACTGTGAAGGTGTTCACAGCCTCTGCAGCGCAGGTTCAATCCCGGCCGGCCTGCGAGGGTCCCACGTGGCGCGGCAGACCTCTCCTGTCGCACCTGCTGCTCCCCTCAACAGTGTATTTCGTCAGTCTGCCTATTCTGTTCCCCACTCTGTCTCTGGTGAATCCTCTCACCCTCCCGCATCTCTGGCCTGTACCCCGGTTCTTATAAAAATAAATAAATCTTCAAAAAAAATTTTTTTAAAAGCTAATTAACCTATATTCAATATAATTTGATCTCTTTGAATCAATCACCAGGTAACAATTGTGTTCAAAGCCATATATTTTGTATAGTGTAGTGGCAGGAATGACCACTGAGCAGGTTTTCTGATATCCAGCAGACCAGGTAAAGGAGGAGTCAGGGTTCTCAGTGGTTTTTGCAGGTCTTTTATTGGGATTACCAGGCACACGGCAGGCAGGGGTGCTGGGGGTTCGGGAGGCTGGCAGTCCTCCCAGCCCCCAGCAAGTCTTCACTCTATCTGGGCTCTCCGGCCTTCTCTGCTTCTCTCTTGGCTTCTGTTCGTTCTCGACTTCTTGGCTTCTGCTGGCATCCCCGTGACGCTGACCTTAAAAGCCCTGTTTTAGCCCAGGTGAATCCCATCTACCTATGCCCACACCCTACTCCAGGTGCCCGCCATCAGGCATGCATTCAGGACCGCAAGGATCTGTCATCTATCCTGATGGCGAGAGGGCAGAAAAGCCTGACATTTTTCCTTACCCTACAATAGACATAAATGACAGGAATTACATTTAGAACCAAATGAGCTCATTAACACCACTTACTATTCAAACCTTTTTTTTGTTTATTCATAGTTTTATTTCTGTTCTCTTGTAGGGACATTTCACCATGTTA